TTAGTTCGAGTAGTCATATTAAAACACACACAATTAGCAATTTATTCAAATAACACTTTATTATTGGTTCGAGTAGTCATATTAAAATAAACACAATTATCAATTTATTAAAATAACACTTTATTATTGGTTCGAGTAATCATATTAAAACAAACGCAATTATCAATTTATTAAAACAACACTTTATTATTGGTCCGAGTCGACTTTCTGTTGGGTCCGAATAGTCTTTTTGTATGGTCCGAGTAGTCTATTTGTTTGGGCTGAGTGGTCTATCAGTTGGTCCGACTGGTCTTCAACCGAGTGGTCTTTGGTCCGAGTGGTCATGGATTCTTGTCGTAATTGTACTTGAATTTCGACCTATGCTGTCACCCCTAATACGAAATGATATCTTCCGCAGAGTGACGTAACCATCTTCCATATTGGTATTTTTCTCTGGGAAAAGTTTGTGATATTTCAATTTTTCAAGAGAGAACTTGTTTTCATCGTTGTGATAATTAGTTGTGCAATGGATTTTATCGAATGGGAGTTCATTACAAACACACAGGTAAGTTTATAATAACCAAAGTTAAGTAGTTTGTTCATAATCGAAGAAATCCGTTTAAAATTTACCAAGACTCAGACAGTAGATATATTCCACGAGTCATGTCAAACGGTGACGCCATATTCTTATCTGGAGAGCATGCGCAATAAATCCTATTGATGTAGACTGGAATAACCAGACGCTAGATATTGCCATTCGATTGAGTCTTCTGACGTATTTCGCCGAACATAACTGATTTGAAATTAGAGTAAAAACAGAAAAGATTAAATGTAAATCGGTTTATATACATTCATATTACATTATTAATATGCGTTGCGACCCATTTGTGTCAATTTCTAGGTCCTAAATATTAGCGATTTAGCTCCTTTAAGCGAGGGATATCCCCCCACCCTCCGGTATACTAATCAGCACAATAACAACATGCAATACTTCATCGCACATACTTAATGATACCTTCCCGTTTGATGATATATTTAGACTATAAAAACATATTCAAACTATTCAATATGGGAAAGTAACTTTAATATGGGATATATAAATAGATCCAGTGCCAATGAAAACGCTCGTCTGGTTTTAGTGAACTCCACGAGAGACTAAATAATGGTGAAATGTGTTTTTTACCTGGATTGTATGTTCGAGAGAGAGAGAAATGGGGTTTAACGTCCACTCGACACAAACTAGATCATTTCGGGATTAACACATTGTTCAATTTTATTTCTATAATTCGCTTGCGCGTAGGGGTCTTTAGCAGTGGAAGGAAACCGGAGGACCCGGAGAAAACCCACGAGGTTGAACAGGCGACCTTACTCCTTGTCACGTACAACCGGGGAATCGAAACCCCGCCAGCTGACTCAATGACAGACCGTATGATACAGCAGGCGCGGGTTAACAATTCGCCCCCCCCCCACCCCCTTGTATGTTCCACGTTTACACGACACACGAGATTAAACTTTGTACTTTGACCGAAAATATAATTTTGTTTATTTTTAAAAAAAGGGACCGATTAAAATTGAAAATGTATATTTTCGTGTTAGTCGGTGTACTAGATTTTGGGCCTATCGCAATCGGAATACTACTTGCCGTTGGTACGTGTATATGTAATACTATAGGGGTTATTTTAGTTCTATGTAAGGTGACCTCTTTAATATACTGAAGTGGTTAAACAAATGGGAGACAACGATAAAGAGGCTAAGTAGGTATTTTGAAAGATTCAAGTTTCTTAGACTAACCCACAGATAGTTTCTGTCACCATCAATTGCTGAAAGTATGGTACTATCGCCCAGTCATCTCGAGTACAGATTAGTCCAATTAAACATAATAATGTTGACGTAAAACGGTGCCCATACAAAACACTTACCCCCAAATAAATAACTTTATTGTTATTATACATTTGCATTTCAAGTTTCGCCAAAATCCGACAAAAATTGTGACCTCTAAAGGCCCACAACCTTGGTATTAGATGCTTTTACGCTATGTGTGTAAAAGGGGCGGGGGCATTTTAACAGCAGGCTTAAGACGCGATTTTTCGTGCAGAGGCCACTCACTCAGGCAGTTACGGCCAGATATGCGCCAATATCCAAAGGAACCGAGATTTGTGAGTTATAAACATACAGACCTGTACATTTGTATTACATCAGAACAAAACAGATACAAAGTGTGACCTCTAGAGGGACCACAACCGTAGTATTACATGCTTTTACGATATGCGCATAAAGGCGGTCGGGGCGACAATTGTGAAGGGAAGTTTTGATCTGATTTTCACGTAAAAGGTCATCCTGTCATGTATGAAAGCCTGTTGTGACAATTTCATATTATCGCTCTTTCGTCCGTCGACTTCTCCCTTTCTCAGGTTTGAAAATCAGCGGCTTCTCGGGGCCCCAGCCCCTTGACTTCTAGCACCGGAAGTTCAATTTATACCCATGTAAGTACCAGGATGACTGCACCACACACAATTACACAAAACAAATCAACGGACAAGACACAGTATGCAGAAATCACAAACAAATGGATCTGGGGGCTAGCCATAAGCTGTTATCATGGTGACATATATATTTTTATTATTTTTTTTCTTAGAATTATAGCTTTGATAGGCAAAAAATTAGACTTTCGTTTGCATTAGAAATGGGACAAAGGTCATGAATATCAGCGCGACAAATTCACGAATTAGTTATTTCGTTTAAACTAATAAAGTATTTCGTTTAAACGAATTAAGTATTTCGTTTAAACGAATTAAGTATTTCGTTTAAAAATTCGTTTACACAAATTAAGTATTTCGTTTAAACAAATTAAGTATTTCGCTTAAATGAAATATGAATTCGTTTAAACGAAATATGCCTTTAAACTTACTAAATAATTTAGTTTAAACCAACTAATTAATTATTTTTAACGAATCAAGTATCTCCCCTAAACCAATTTGGTTTTAAAAATGAGTTAAGTCAAATCCAACGGAAAAAGATGAAAATTATAGGATTCATGCGCTTGGGGTCCGCCATTTTCTTTTTCAATCTTGAAAATTATAGACCAAATGACAACGCTTAGCGGAACATTATATCAATATGTAAACGTTTCATTTACATCCCCATACATAAAATGGGAGCCAAGGCGACTAGGTGGTTAAGACGCTGGCTCGCTATCCTGGAAGTCACGTGTTCGATCCCTGCATTGGCCGAGAAAGTTCATCGGGATTTTCCGACGTGGTTTCCCCTTGTCAGTGGTGCAGAATGGAGGGTCTGACAAGGACAGCCGTCTAGTCCTTCGGATGAGACGAAAAACCGAGGTCCCGTGTATACATTGGAATGCACGTAAAAGATACCTTGGCAGTTGGAATTCGATATAAGAGTAGGCGATAGTGCCGCTGCCCGGGCAAAATTTCCCTCATAGCACACTGTATGGCGTATGCCCGTCTTCATTAGCCCAGTATAGGAGCAGAACAGTAGGACGTTTAACCCCATTTCATTCATACATAAAATTATGTCGTATTCCGTTTAGTAAAACTTCACCGTTGTATAAATGTAAACATTGTTTCGAACGTAGCTTTCGTTTCCGAATATCTAGTTATGTCCTCGACCTTATGCTTATATCAATGAGCGAAGTGTTAATTTTAAATACAAATTTTTAATTTCTTTAATTTAAACAACTGCGGAATAAGATGAATTCATATCAAATTACAAATGGGGTGTAATTTATGGGGTGTAATTTACGGGATTAGATAAGTCATCCATGAACTCATTGATGACTTAGGATGGAAACCGGCACAGAAAGGTAAATAAAGATGCAGTAAATACTTTTTGACTTAAACTATCATTATCCTTACATCAGGTGGTAAATCGTAATATTATAGACTACTGCGCTTCATTTGTAAGAACTGTCACATCTTTTAATATCAACATTATTCATATGGACCGTTCTATAAATTGGTGTCAAAATCTAAGCTATCATGACTGCCGTTGTCAAGTGTTGGTAAATGTTAGCAAAAGGGCTTGTTTTTTTTATTCTAGATAGATTGTTATTCATTTATGTTAGAATAATAATCATTTTGAGGGTTTGATATCTTTTCTATGGAGTACCATATGCTACACATCCTATTTTCCAATCATTTATTCAGCTGTACATTTCCATAGTAAAATATAAGTGTACATTCTAAGATGAAACAATGTATTGAGTGTGAATATATATTAAATAAAATTTATAACGAATTATTTTACTGTAAAACTTAGTGAAAATGTTCAGTCTTTAATTGTCAGAGCATCTTTATGATTCCAGGCACAAAGTTTTGAAGGGTGAATTAAGAAGTCATAAAATATTAACAATGTGTATTTATTTTAAAAAGTTGTGGAAAACAAAAGCAGTTTCAAGAAAATTGCGATGCAGTATTTGCTATTTTCCTTACAAAACCTAAACATTTAATCCAAATGATGTTTATGATACAAAAAGTCTCAAAGTAGTCCATGGAAAATATGGAGGATACCGGTATTTGAAGAAAAACAAGTTTGATAATATGAACTTGGTGCGCTAAAACAAATATAGTTCTCAAAATTTGAAGTCTTGGTGGTCGTAGGGTATATATTCAGGTACCTTTGAGAGACTTTGTGATTTCCCATTTTGTGTTGTTTACCCCGTAGCAGTGCTGAATGGTATATTTGCCTCATATTTTCCAAAGTTATCAATTCCAAAGTCATTATTGTTGATTTTCATCCATTTTTTATTGTTCAGTGTCATCTCAAGCACATTTAGATACCAAAATAAAGGCACTAAAGATGTCGTGAATGTTGTTGGTATTTTTTGAGTCGCCCCCCCCCCCCCATTTCAGGTGTTGTGACAATTTCTGTCACTTTACCTTACCCTTAAACGTACACTACCAACAATATACGGATCAGGTCCATAGCAACAGAAGCCAGGTCCATAGCAACATAATCTATATTCTAAACAAACAAGTTCTATAATTACAACAGATACTTACCTCTTCAATGTTTTAAAATGGATGTTTTGATATACAGCTATATAAATCCCAGACCAAAAACACACAATGATAACATACGTACTGAATTTTCTCAATAAATTTTCAATCATCTTGTTGATCACCTGTCCATTCTTTTCTCAGATTATCTGATTTCAGTCACTACTATTATGAGTCGCGCGTATTTTTTAGCTCAACATTTTAATTACGAATAAAGAGTTTTCCCCACATTATTTACTTGTTGTGATTTTCTATGTCCAAGTTTTAGACTGTCGGTCGGTGTCTGAAAGAATACATTTCTTATGTTGAAAGTATCCACTCGCACTCACTTTACATGTGCGTGTTGTACCGTGTTGTTTTAGAGTAAACCGTGTCCGTGTACCAAAATATAATTGATGGACGGAAACAGAGGTCAAAATTCCAAATTTGACTTGGAAGGGAGAGATACTCATAAAGTCAAGCGTTTGACTAGATGTTTTTGATTCATCGAAGTATTCGAAAGGCGAATGCCAATGATTAGTTCATTTCACGTCTATTTTGTATTTTTATCTAAATATAAAAAATACCGGATGCTTCACAAAGACATAGACCTTAGGTTTGATTGTTATAAATTCAGCATAAGGCCTGTCATTGAGTCAACTGGTGTGATTTCGAATCCCCGGTTATACGTGACAAGGAGTAGGGTTGCCTGTCCAACCTCGCCGGTTTTCTCCGGGTCCTCCGGTTTCCCCCCACTGCTAAAGACCCCTACGCGCAAGCGAATTATTGAAATAAAATTAAATCATATGTTAGTCCCGAAATGACCTACTTTGTGTCGAGTGGACGTTAAACCCCATCTCTCTCTCTTTATCATTGGGCAACCCTGGGGCTGATAAAGAAACCATTTGTTCCGGAAAACTAAAGACATTGACGTAAATTGGTTCAATCATGACATAATGTTATTAAATTAACAAAACTTGATTGTATATTCTTCTCTGGGTATTTTGTTTTTAACGATCATGCGCCTTTAAAATCAAAAACTCTGACTAATCGACCGTTATCGCCATTATAATTATCCAGTTGAAATATGGACAGGTTCCCTTGTTTAAAAAAAAGTCGAATTTAAACCCAATCATATTTAAAAACTACCGCCCAGAGATCTCTAATCTTTCGTTACTATCTAAACTATCTGTAGTATTATCGGACTTCCTTGTTGTGTTCAACCTCGTGGGTTTTCTCCGGGTCCTCCGATTTTCTTCCACTGATAAAGACCCCTACGCGCAAGCGAATTATTAAAATAAAATTAAACCATATGTTAGTCCCGAAATGACCTAGTTTGTGTCGAGTGGACGTTAAACCTATTTTTCTCTCTCTCTCTCTCTTTCTCTCTCTCTCTCTCTCTCTCTCTCCTTGTGTTTCCTTTGTGATCGTAAATAAAACTACAGGTTAGTTGATGCTAGGGGGGGATCTGCATATCGGGGTGAGCCCTGGTCAATTTCGCTCAACACCCTCTTATATAACCCCCTTATTTCTGTACGTTATAGACATACCTTGGCGTTAATTTCCTTCCCAAATATGGAATAAACACCCCCATTCTCCCAAGACAAAGGGGGAGAACATTACCTTATTTGGTCTACTAAACACATATCATAAACAAGATAGTATTTGATGGATAAGGATATAAGGATTTTACCAAAATATCACTGTTTTTTTTATGTATATAAACTTGTCATTTACTTTCATTAGTGTGTGTTATTTGACTCTGTAGAAAGTGTTAACATATAAATAATTAAAGATAGGCTACACTATGGTCTTAAGAACCAAAGTATTACAAACCATAGAAAAGGTTGCAGCTTTCAGATTATATGATCACAAGAAGTGTCACGGCACTGAGACTTTCCCTTGTGTGAATGCCATCATCTGTCAGGTGGACAAAGGGGGCTGTATTTTCCTGGTTGGGCTTGACCTCGGTGCCGCTATCGACGCCATACACACTTCGATATCATTATCGAGCTGTGTGTAGCACCATGGGTCAGACGTGGAGAGCGGACCACTGCAAAACCGGTCGCCACATCCGGCGTATAACCCATGCATCGTTTCTTACTACATACGTTGTGATTGAATATATTGCATCTTAAATAGTATGATTAACAGGAATAATGATAGTTGTTTTTCGCTATACGTTATTATGTCACCATAGTCTACATTTCAATATTTAAAATTAACATCTCTTTCTCTCAACTCCTGTAAAAGTCTAACCAACGTGGCTAGACTCAGGCAAACAATACATCATGAAATAGTCGTCTAAAGAATCTACATGATATCTGAAATTATTCTAGCCCCGCTCTCGCTTATAGGTGCCGAATGGCGTAGGCTAATTAGTAATTTTCCACTCACGTGTATTTCAAACAATAACAATTTATCCTTGAAAAATGCAAATGACCAACATGTTTAATGAACTATAGCTGCCTTAACGTATCAAAATAACCAGCATACTTTCTATATGTTTGGTTATGAACTTAGAATCAATAATTGTGCAAAGATAACAATATTGTTTCAGCCATCATATTTCTCCTTTCCTTGTCTATGAATTTGAAAACAATATCGCAACGACAAAATTGTTATATGTGTAATATCGTGGTTCACTACTTATCTGGATTGTCGGGATCAAGTAAGAAATATCCATAACATTAAATCTCCTCTACAAAGGCTGAAATATGGTATGTCAGATGTGTTATATAATAATAAGCAGCTGTGGTTTATAGCCTTGAGTTGGAGATACAATAAGTATTATCTGTGTTACAACATGCATTCATTAAGTTAGTTAATTAGTCACTATCTCCTCATTATATAATATAATTGTCCGTTAAATGAAGGCTACTAATATATCTATCTATACTAATATTTGTGACTGTCGTTTGTTTGTCTGTTTGTCTGTCTGTTCGGGGTTGGCGGCTACACTAGGTCTGCTCCGAGTCTGAAATTTGGGGTATAGGGGTAGTTCGGACCGGGGAGTAACATAGGCCAGGTGGCGTTAGTCTACCACTTCCGGTTTCGGAGTTATAACCCCCGAGCGAAGCCGGGCATTCTTCTAGTATATTATAACTTGTGAATGGCTGTTAAAATACTAATAAGGTTGTTGATAACATCTGGACTGTTATAGATGATGTCAGGTAGAAGCATAACTAAATAATTTACAGGTCCAGCTATGTGGTTTTTACTGCGAGCACTTCCCTTTTCCACATAAAGCCAGCGGATTCTTTTTCCCCACGGGTTTTTTTCAACCCGCCCTGATGACGCCAAACATCAGTCAGTTGGACCTCCTGTTTTAACTTTATTATGACAAAGGGAGAAGATGACCCGCCCTCTCTTCTCACGACAGCGAATTTATAAGTGTGCGTTAAGAAACTTTGGAATCCGAGGACTTTTTTTTATTTTTTTATTTTTTTTATTTTGTGTTTTTAACAATTTTCAAATGTAAATAATTTAATTAAATCAACCTGTCCATAATATCATATTCATTGTATTGGACGTTAAATATGTAATAAACAACAACAACGAAGCATAACTCAGACAAGCTTATCGAGAGACCGCTGTACAAGACAGAACGAGAGCATGTGAAAATGGAAGCAGAACGATGACTACAATCTGTTATGATATGTTACGATCCTGTGTGATGTATTGGTTGTTACAATTATAGATGTAATAACTTTTAATGTTTGTTCGTGCATGGTTGAAATAAAAAAGTAAATCCACAGTGATCGTTATCATAGGATCCTTTGATACGATGTTACACAAGGTTCGGTCCTGGGGCCACTTTACTTCATGGCATACACCTCTCCTGTAGGAAAGGTGGGGGGATAGCCGAATGGTTAGAGCGTGCGCGTTGTATTATTAGGTCTGTCACTGGGTCAACTGGTGTGGTTTCGATTCCAACCTCGTGGGTTTTCCCCGGGTCCTTCGGTTTCCTCCCACTGTTAAAGACCCCTACGTGCAAGCGAATTATTGAAATAATATTGAACTATATGTTAGTCCCGAAATGACCTAGTTTGTGTCGAGTGGGTGTTAAACCCCATCTCTCTCTTTCTCTCTCTCTCTCTTTCTCTCTCTCTCTCTCTCATAATTCTGTGAAAATTAGAGATGCCGATATCATTGTCAACATCTATACGAAATCTTGGTGTAAATTTCGATTCTGCACTGGACATGAAATCTCATATCTCACTGATTGTTGACCTTCCCGCAAAAAGCTTATACCCTCTCAAATTTATTCAGAATAAAGCTGTCGGTATCTTTTTCACTTTCTCTCTCTCTCACTGACACCTTATCGTTCACCCATCACTCCTGTCCTTACACAACTTCACTGACTGCCAGTTTCTTTTCGCATCGATTTCAAAATGTTGTATCTTACATGTCTGTCAATCAACCGATCTGAATCGCGTGTATATCTCAATGGTCTTCTTATAAATTATAAACCCTTACACCAACTCTGTTCTTCAAATCATCACCTGCTTGGAAGGCTAGAAATAAAATGGGGTTTAATGTCCTACTGTTCTGCTCCGACTGGGATAATGAAGACGGACATATGACATACAGTGTACTATGAGGGCAGGAAATTATGCCCGGTGAGTGGCACTATGACCTCCTCTTATATCGAAAATTCCAACTGCCAGAGGATCTTTTACGTGCACGCCAATGTATACACTGCTCCTCGGTTTTTCGTACCATTCCCGACGACTAGACAGCTGCCCTTGTAAGGCCCTCCGTCCTGCACCGGGGTTGGGGGTGGAAGGCCAAATGGTTAGCGCGTGTGCGCTGTATCATAAAGTCTGTCATTGAGTCAACTGGCGTACATGGTTTAGGGTTGTACGTGGCAAGGAGTAGGGTTGCCTGTCCAACCTCGTTGTTTTTCTCCGGGTTCTCCGGTTTCCTCCCACTGCTAAAGACCCCTACGTGCAAGCGAATTGTTGAAATAAAATTGAACCATATGTTAGTCCCGGAATATCCTAGTTTGTGTCGAGTGGACGTTAAACCACACGTCATTTGTAAATTCACATCAAGGAACAAAAGAACTATTATATTGACAAGTAGTGCCGATGTCGGGTAAAATTTTAAACGTCCATTTCGGTGAATCAAAGCCATCGCCTTCTTGTATTTTGCTTTGTCTTTGATATAATTGATTCTTTTAGACAAAAGTTCAAAGACTAGTTTAGATTTTCCATTCTCCAAAAGTATTTCAAATTTATCTGACCAGCTACCAGAGTCGACCGAGGTCTTTCGGATTTATTTTTATACTGTATGCATTGCATGTGAAGAGGATAGTTGAAGGGAGATAACTACGTTTAAGACTCTTCAAAAGAAAATAGGAAAGCTCCTCACTAACAACCAATGAAATGCTATCAAAGGTCATATCCGCAGGAAAGGAAATGTGATCACCCTTGTCAGATTTGTTTTGCTTTAATCTTTTCTCGGATCGACAATAAATGTTTTATCACATCAGCTGTTGCCGTCCAGTATAGCAGCAAATTGTTGACACAGGAGGCAGATCGATTGTGAAACTGTCCGTGTACACGATTGTGCTGTGAAAATGACGTTAATTTAGTCCAATTGATATCCTATTTCTTTTTTAGAGACTAGCATAGACTTTATTTACTGGTTAAGTGGTTTGTTTATTATTATATATAATATGTATACCAATGATGTTTTTAGTTATTGTTATATGCTGTTATTTTTATTTGAATATAAGAAATACTATCCTTCTTCTTTTTTTTTTTCTATTTTAAATCAAACTTTTGAGATAAATGTCTCGGAGATGAACAAATATTTTGATTACGACCTTCGTAATCTTGTACACTTTGGTTGTGCCCACTGCAGCACGAGAAAATTCAATTGTGATCAAAACAGTTTACTCATGATTTGTCCGTAACAGACATGTTACACGATTATTACGTTTCTAATAATAGAACCAGTAGGCCTACTTATACACCAGCAGAGTTTGGAATAGCGCTTGTTACTATTACAATTAATGTAACATCAACCGAAGTTACTGTGAAATCCACTGTGACACTTTAAACTACTGTTCTGGTGTTCATCATTATAACCCCGTCTAAAGCATTATTAAACAAAGAGGGGCACTAATTATTAGATGTAAAAAATGAAATTGTCAGTCTTATAGAATTTTATGTTATTGTTATATCCATTCCATATAGCCATATATTGTGACGTGATATCTGATATTTTGAAAACATTTTCACAGATAGAGAGAGAGAGAAATGGGGTTTAACGTCCACTCGACACAAACTAGGTCATTTCGGGACTAACATATGGTTTAATTTTATTTCAATAATTCGCTTGCGCATAGGGGTCTTTAGCAGTGGGAGGAAACCGGAGGACCCGGAGAAAACCCACAAGGTTGGACAGGCGACCCTACTCCTTGTCACGTACAACTGGGGATTCGAAACCACGCCAGTCGACTCAATGACAGACTTCATGATACAGCGCACACACGCTACATCTTCACAGATAATAGCCAGAGTTATGATATTGTTAATTTTGTGTTTCACTGTCGAAACATTATATTACCGGTAATGACTTCCAATTAAAGATATATTTTGCAAGAGCTCAATCTGCCTATTATAGGACTTTCTTTAGTCCTGAAATGTTATCTAAATTATTAATTAGACATTTATTAACATGAAAAGACCACAATCAACTATTGATGCCATTTTATGTGTTTGATTTTCACTGGATTTGAATCCCTTCTGATAATCCCAAAATGGATAATCGAGATTATATTTTTTTATCGCATCGACTTGATCGAGGCTAGGCCTAAAATTCAATCTCTAATGATGATCGACGCTAGGCCTAAAATTCAATCACTAATGATGATCGAGACTAGGCCTAAATTCAATCACTAATGATGACTGAGGCTAGGCCTAAAATGATCGAAATTTGTAGGTGGAAACACCACACTTTAGGCAACATTTTTCATTGTTGATATGGGTGCCAATTAAGTCCACAAGCAAAGACATCAACAGTTAAGTTGTTCACAGCCACTGGTTAAGTCGTCCACAAGACATGGGTGATGTCATCCACAACTAATACTTGACTTGTGGGGGTCCCGGTTGCTAAGTCGCTAGCCTGGAGGTTGGATATTCAATCCCTGCATTCATGATTGGCCGAGAAAGTTCATCCTGATTTACCAGTGTAGTTCCCCCTTGTCGGTGATGTAGGACGGAGGGCCTGACATAGACAGCTGTCTAGTCATTCGGATGAGACGAAAAACCAAGGTCCTGTGTACACATTGGCGTGCACGTAAAAGATCCTTAACGGTTGGAATTCGATACAAGATTAGGCCTTAGTGCCGCTGTCCAGGCAAAATTTCCCTCATAGCACACTGTATGGCGTATACCTGTCTTCATTAGCCCAGTTTGGAACAGAACAGTAGGACGTTAAACATCATTTCATTTCTTTTCAATACTTGACTCGTAAACAACTAATGGTCAGGTTGTTCACAACTAATACTTGACCCAAACACTATTAAAACCATGTGAAAATGATGATAAAGCACCACACAGCACAAAAAAAAACTATACTAATTAAGAATACTTTCTGTGTCCCGAAAGTAAACAGTCATGTGGACGACTGTACCAACATATTTCTACATCCAGAAATTAAACAAAGTCTTGAGGACGAGTCAACCAATGCCGTGTGGACGACTCCACCAACGAGTGTGGACGACGTAACCAGGTTTTTCATGTGGACGACTTGACTGGCATTCGTAGATACAGTTGTGTGACCAAATTTTTTATATATAGCCATGCTACTGTTAGTCTCAAAATATCTAATTGTGGTAACACAAAAACATAACCTAGACAAGAATGTTTATTTTCTCATTATTTTCTGAAAAATTGAACGATTTTTATTTCTTTACTTTTAGGATGATGTCAATTGCCTTCCATCAATGTCTCATTTACTTACTCATGTTAACCTACACATTTCAACCTATCACTGCTGAGACTGGTAAATCAAAAAGAAAAAAGATCAGTTTACCCAGTCACATCACAGATCATCAACCGGTGCTTTGTTGGATTCTGAGATTTCGTGATGAAGTGTACAATGAAACCATATTTACCGATCGTAAACATTTAAATCTAACATACTCCAATTCCGTGGGTGAATTTTATAAAGATCATCATGTTTATTGCCACACCTTTCACGAAACGGCACAGAGGGGAAATTTCACAGAATTACAAAAATCACATGATAAGTTACGACAAGATAATCAAAGACATTTTAACAAATTAGTGGATACGTTTGAAAATCATCTTGAGCTTCATCCAAATGTGAAATGGTACAGCCAGGAGACTGTCAGATCCAGACAAAAGCGATCCATAGATATTTACGATCCTTATTTTCATCGACAATGGCATTTGGTAAGGCCAAGATTGCTTTATTTTCTCCAAACCTTTGATTTTATTGCTTTCCAAATATAAAAAACAAGCCTTGGTGCACCATAACAATGGACTAAACTGGACTACTTTTCCAGTACTTGGTAGGGTAACCAAACTGAATCACTCCTGTCACCAGGTGGGTAAGACACTGGCTTGCTAGATTGGAGGTTGCGTGTTCGATCCCCTTGTCAGTGATGCAGGACGGAGGGCCTGACAAGGAAAGCTGTCTAGTCGTTCGGATGACACGAAAAACCGAGGTCCTGTGTATACATTGACATGCATGTAAAAGATCCTTGGCAGTTGGAATTCGATATACATGTAGTAGGCCATAGTGATGCTCCCTGGGCAAAATTTCCCTCATAGCACATTGTATAGCGTACGCCCGTCTTCATTAGCCCAGTCGGAGCAGAACAGTAGGACGTTAAACCCCATTTCATTTCATTTCTCCTGTTACCAGGTAAATGCATAAAAGCAGATATTATTTGTAAAGTCACATTAAGGAACAAAAGAACTATTTTACTGACAAGTAAAATTTTAAACATCAATCCATCAAAGACAAACATCAATGCCTGCATTGGTAAATTTGACTTGCTATTTAAACAAGATCTCTTGTATCAAAACTTACATTCTGCAAACTTGTCAGTCTATTAAACAAATTAGAGTCAGTTCTTGATGTGGAGATTCGTGTTCAAACTAATACCGTCACAATCATTTGAGTGATCTTGAATACCTCATAAACTACAATATTGTGAATATTGAATCTCTGGTATGTCTTTAAAAACATTTAATAGAGCTTCAGCCCTGATAGTTGCTTTCAACTACATCTATAATAAGGGGTTACCTTACACAACGAGAGAGAGAGAGGGTTTAAGGTCCAGTCAATACCAACTAGGTCATCTTGGAACGAACATATGGCTCAATTTTATTTCAATAATGCACTTGCACATAGGGGTCTTTAAAAGTGGGAAGAAACCAGATTACCCAGAGAAAAACCATGGGGTTGGACAGACGACCCTAATCCTTGTCACCTACAAGAAGGGAATCGAAACTACCCCAGTTGACTTAATGACAGACCTTATGGAACAACGCACAGACACTAACCATCCACCCCCCCCCCACCACCCCTTCCACAATGAATTAACCAGTTTTGTTTACTTAAATATACTCTTCAAAAATAGTAAGGGATATTCAGAAACAATACAAAACTGCGGAAATGCACTGCTGTTTTTATTAGAGGTAACCAGTGTATGTTAATAACATGCCAATTGCCTACACGTGAACATAAACTGTTCATATGGGCGGCTTATCTGACGGCCCCATTTCACTCGCAAAGAGATACACCGTCAAAAGTGAAAATGGGCGTTTTTGGTTTTGGTCTTAATAATGAGTAATTGCTCCACCAATCCTCAAACATTCAGCAAATTGTCGTGGCATGCTTCTAATCAACCGTCCAATCACGATTTGGGGCAATCTGACCCACCCCTCTTGCAGTGCCTCGGCCAATTCTTGCAGGGTTGCCGTTGACGAATACGTCTCCCGATCAAATTAAACGCAACACACTAAAGCATAGATACGCTAAACAGTAAATCTTATGCAAGAACAATAAACCCCTCCCACGTGTTTGGCGCTATTGCATGTCACACATGAAGCTCAGTGGTTCTGTTGGGGCGACAAGTTCTTCATCTGTGAACATACTCTCAAAGCATGTCAACTGTCCATGACTATTTATCATATCACAACCTGCATAGGTAGGCCTATTTGCATTTCAATATCCCCTACTTTTTTTGAAGAGTATACATCTGAGATTTCACCTTTAATTTGACAAGTATTATTTGGAATAATGATATCAGTATCCATCAGCTAGAAGTTTTTTTGAAGGCTGGTTGTTTTTTTTTAGGTAAATCGTCAAATAGTGAACATGGATGTAAATGTAACGGGTGTGTGGGAGAGAAATATTACAGGTCATGGTGTTACAGTAGCTGTTGTTGATGATGGTAAGATTTTTACACGACCACATTTCCATGTGGACGTACATGTAACGGCCTTCTTATACTCAAATGTCCTTAATTACATAGACAATCTTCAGATTAAAATTGAACATATTATTATTATTGATTTAATTATGGTTATATCATCAATAACATGAGTAAATCGTAAAGTTTATTTTTCAACCATATTTCTCTTGGTGAAGTGCTAAAATTAGTGATGTGCCCAAGACCAATACTCGAAATGGTGGGATGACCCACATAAAGAATCATGTAGTATGCCCACCAGAGATAATGTTGTCTGTGGTCACCAAAACGATAAAAATATTCCTCCTTATACCCGAATCCCACAAAGTTTTATAAATTCCATCTAAATATGTCCTATAACATGTTCACAAGATTTAAAACAGTCAAAAACTTGCTCAAAATTTATCACGTGAAAAGTTTGCAATTTATTATTATTTTTCCGTACATTCTAATAATTAATCTTTAAATGGCATTTACAATGTATATAGACTAGAATGGGCTGGCGTGTACGAAACTTATTAAAAATACTTTCCCAGAAGGGGTGGTTATTTCCAATAAAGGTATGGCAATTTTAGTATATATCGAAAGTAGAAATATCCAATCTTGCTAGAAAAATACTGGATTCCCTGAAAAACACCCATGGAGCGCATACAGGACAAAAATGTATGGGTTTCCCTAATCAGCAGCCTGACGATTAGGAATTCCTGGTTCCGTGACGTCAAAGGTTAGTGAGATCTTGATGTAGATAAACTTGATGGTGAGCTTAAAAGTACAACAGTTTCTGAGATAAAAACCACGGAAAAAGATGTGGGCAGTGAATTTAATTAGGCTTTGACATTTATGGTAGATGGACAGCGATTGTGCACCCGTTGCTAGTTACCGGGTCAGCCAAGTCACATGACTTAAACATGATTTCTTTTAATAAACTTTAAATAGCAGGGATATTCCCTCACAAAAACAATGTTTAAGAAGGATTAATTACTTTGAATATGTTTTTAGTCCGAATATATCATCAAATCACTCAGTTTGTACGTGGGAATGTATCTTTAATAAGTTCCGTATATTTGTACGCGGGAGGGTATCTTTAAATATGCCCAGAATTAGCTGTATTTATATTGTTATTGGTTATTCAGTTTAAATGGCAGTGTGAAATCAACAGAACCCAATGTAGAAACTCAAAATGACAATAACTTGAGTTAGATTTAGATGTGAACAATTTTTGGGCCAAGATGTTTTTGATTGTTGAACATTTTATTTGTTCTGACATGTGAAGGCATTAAAACGGATATTTGATATTTTCAGGCGTTGAATGGACAAACAAAGATTTACAAGAAAATTATAATTATTTGGGAAGTTGGGATTTAAATGATGATGATCCAGATCCTATGCCTAGCGACAGTAAAGGTGAGAATTGTTTAACCTGTTTTGTTCACTATGCCTAGCGACGGTAAAGGTGAGAATTGTTAACCTGTTTTGTTCACTATGCCTAGTGATACATTATGTAAGATTTAGATAAAGAGCTAGTCATTCTTGGTATAATAGTTTGAAAATAGATAATGTAAAACGAATAATTGGAAAATTTCATTCCAATTACTCTATTGCAAGCAAAGATATTAGCCTTTGAAGGTTTGACAAGACGTGTGCAATAATTTCAACCACCGTACTGGTTGTTTGAAGCTAAGTCTCGCTCCTCCATTTTTAGCTTAAATCAAAATATGGCTGAACTGTTCTAATCTATTTAATATCGGAGTCTAGCGATGGCATCGAGAGTTGATTATGGTCTGGATAAGTTAATTAATGTCTAATTACTAATTTAGATAACATTTCAGGCCTAAAGAAAGATCTGCAATAAACTATAATAAAATTAATGTTTTGAGAATCGTTAAATGTTGAAAACACTTGCGCAATGTCCGCAGCCGTTTTTCACTGCATCGTTTATGCGTTACTTTTACTTTGTTTTTAGTCGACAATAAATTGTCAGTTGTTACAACATGCAAAGCTTAGGCCTACTAAACGCCTGAAGTTTCCCACTACCGTGGCTAATTACCCGGCTATAAATAGGTTGTCATATTTTTAAAAAACAAATATTTTTAGAAAACTCTACGAAACTTAATTTCTGAAAGCAAGAATAAAACGATCTATAAATAGATGTCACTGTTAGGCCAACTGCAGACAAACGAATGCATGAATGGAAGATAGTCCGGATCATTTAGTATTTGTTAAACTGTTTGAACTTACAATACAAGACTTGAAGACCGCATCTACTTACTGCCACTGCACGTGATATTTGAGAATTTTCTTACACATGGTCACAAGCAGACGCTTTTTAAACATCAGCGGTTGTATTTAATTTAATTATATGTACATGCATAAGTAATGTCTCCTGTTATTGTGTTAAAAAGCATTGAAGTGTTTTTATCCAAAAAGGATGTTGTTTTGTTCGTTTTAATAAATCTATATTATAAAAAAAGCAACGTTTAAAGTGTATGATTGAATAAAGCAATTCTTACCCACAATTCTTATCCACTCACACTGTAGTCAGCTTTAATGCATTTATATTTAATTTATTTAATAGCAAAGTGACATTATTATTAAATATCGCGATATTTTACTATATCTTTGAAAAAAATGCCAATATCGATATCGTCCCTTTTTGCAATATCGTACAGCCCTAATTAGATCATAACTTCCTGGGTTATGGCCCCTGATTTTACGTAAAATAAAATCTACTCATCTTTTTTGATATAAATAAATATCAACTCAAGTCGATAAAGTAAAATAACAAGGCTTTGCGTTTTTATTTTTTTTACGTTATCGACGAGTGTTGATATTTTTTTATATCAAAAAAGCCGAGAAGGAGATTTTATTTATCACCCAATCCTTTCTTACATGTACAAATAAATAAATATAATTCTTTGCTATAGATTTCACTTTGACTGAACCTTATTACATTACAGCGTGGTGATACATCATTTTTTGAAAGCAATTCAACCATTGCAAAGTCCTTTATATTGACCCAGTGTTTCCATCAAGGTCAATTAAATAAAAATAGTTCATTTTTAATAAAAAAAAAAGATGTTACTTTTCATAAAAAATGAACTGTTCTTTGAAAATAAAAACAAAAACAAAAGTAGTTTCTTTTTAATTGACCAATCAAATTGATGTAAAACAATATCTCCTAAAATCGCAGTAGATTATGAAATTTATCACACAAACGATATGTACTGTAGAATGTATTATTGGGTGATAAATATTTGTGTTTGGTTATTTTATTTCAGTGAATAATCATCATGGAACTCGTTGTGCCGGGGAAATAGCAGCTGTAGCGAATGATATCTGTGGTGTTGGGGTGGCTTACAATTCAAAAATATCGGGTTAGTTATCTCTCATCTCCCATTCTGATTAAAACACAGATCATATTTCGTTCCATTTTTTATAGTTCAAAATTTTGTTTTACTTGTCTTTACTACACTAGGATCTGGAAGAGTTTTTATATAACCCGCGTTCTGGATGATGTGAGGGATTAGCCAATGAAACAGTCTGTTACGACGAGTTTTTGGCGTGAGGTGCACAGAACTGTGGGTAACCCACTAGAAACATCAACGCTGATTGATTAAACGGACGTCATAGGGGCAAAAGCTGCTCATATGACCCCTGACGCGATCTTCCAGTAAAACTGGTCTGATCTGTAGTAGATGCCATCGAAAGTATAAAAAACAAAATGAAATATAGATGTGTATTTTAATCAAATTGATCATCTTGTTTTCCACATCTGTAACAGTTGTTTTAAACATGTCTGATGGACTGGCATGAATGTTAATCTTATTTTTTGTATAAATATAGAAACCCACGTTGTATGTATACATTGACAAATTTTATATAATAAAAGAAAAAACATGTGAAATCTTCACTGATGATGTCCAAAGCAACAAAGTCATTGCTGGTTGTTTTTTTTTTTCATGTAGCTAGACTGAGGTTAAAGATACATTATGTAAGATTTAGATAAAGAACTAGCCATTCTTGCAATAATAGTTCGAAAGTAGATGATGTAAAAGAATAATTTGAAAATTTCATTCAAATTACTCTGTTGCAAGCGAAGATATTAGCCTTTGAAGGTTTGACAGATGTGTGCAATAATTTCAACCACCGTACTGGTTGATCGAAGCTAAGTCTCGATCCTCCATATTTGATTTAATCAAAGTATCGCTGAACCATTCTAATCTATTTAATATCAGAGAAATCTGATGCCATCGAGAGTTGGTTAAGGCCTGGATCAGTTAATTAATGACTAATTAATACTTTAGAAAACATTTCAGGCCTAAAGAAAGACCTGCAATAGGCAGATTTAGCTCTTGTATAATGTATTTTTAACTCAGTTCAGTTAATTGAAATCAGATTAAAAATAAAAGTAGAAGTAATATTTTTATATGGACTCAACATTCTCTTGGTTCCAATCTTTATAGCCAGAATGGGGAACACATTTGGCAATCTCCTCATGATAAATTTGTAGGGGGTTGACCATTTAGATTTTTTGCTACAGGAATTTGATGTTGACTGGAGTCAAAACTCACTTCCGACACAATGATTGCTCTGCAGATAGACACTTTAAAACCTCCTATCCTTCTGCTGTAATATCATCAGTATTACCCAAAACTGCTATGAAATTGCAAATTTAATCCCTTCTCTCCAATTCTAGACCAAAAAGTCAACCAAACAATGCAGGAAGAGGGGAGAAAAATTTAAGGGAAAAATAATTACTAGTCTTAGTCCTAAAGAGTTATCTTTCCTTATTATGAATCCTACATGTAAATGGGGACAGATAAACAGCAAAGAATGAATGAAACAGGGTTTAACATCCTACTTTTCTACACCAACTGGGCTAATGAAGATTGACATACACCATACAGTGTGCTATGAGAGTGACTATCGGGGGGGAATGGCTGAATGGTTAGCACGTGCGAGCTGTATCATAAAGTCTGTCATTGAGTCAACGGGTGGGGTTTTGATTCCCCGGTTGTACGTGACAAGGAATAGTGTCGCTTGTCCAACCTCGTGGGATTTCTCCGGGTCCTCCGGTTTCCCCCCTCTGCTAAAGAGCCCTACACGCCAGCGAATTATTGAAATAAAATTGAACCATATGTTAGTCCCAAAATGACCTAGTTTGTGTCGGGTGGACGTTAAACCCCATTTCTCTCTCTCTCCAACTATCAAGGGCTCTTTTCTGTACACACCAAGGTGTACACGGGAAACCACGTCGGAAAATCCCAATGAACTTCTCAGTCAATGAAGGGATCGAACACAAAACCCCCCAGGCCATAAGACTTATATGCAGTTATTAGTTTCCCTCCAAGAGAACTTCTTGCACCTTTTCAATGCCATGTTGAACATCCTACCAAAGGCAAAACCAATCAGCACTTTATTGGAAATAATGTTTATGTTATAGTATATTTTGATTTTCTGTTTAATTTTTTATTTAATCAGAAGTCTCAGAAGTTTATACACATTCAAAATTTTATCAAATTATTAAGTTTTGAGGGAATATTTCAGTACCCAATATGTCAAGACAATAGAATGGGCTATAGTCTTGTGCGTCATGGATGTATCAACTTGAATTCTTGTTTTTATTTTCAACAGGTTTAAGAGTTTTAGATGGACCAATGACAGACAGTTTAGAAGCTACAGCTTTTAATAAAAAAATGCAGATTAATGATGTATATAGTTGCAGGTAAAAACAAACAAATTAGCCATATTGTTTTCATTGAAAATATATGGGGATACTCGATTGAACGTTCGGGAATTAAATTCTCTCAATTCCGAAAATAGTGTCAATCGAGTAAAAAGGAGAATTTTGAAGTACAACGCATGTGCCGACTGCATAAAAAAATATCTCAACCAATCATGACAGCTGAAACATATTTGTTACTTAAAACACGTCACGATTCTACTCACACCACCTCAGCTGTCAGGACTGGCAGAACTGTGACATGGTTGAATTCCATATCACTTGATTGCAATTCTGTCAATTCGGGACGTTTCGGACTGACAATCGAGCACCCCCCAAATCAATGAACTAAGGGGAGGTAACTATGTAGTATAGTCCCTAACCTCATATTATCTCCTCTTAGACCACACTGTTGGTGGATGCTCAATTGTCAGTCTGGAACGTTCCGAATTGTCAGAATTGAATTTTAGGCCTAGCCTTGATCATCATTACTAAAGTTGATAGGATAAAAAACATAGTTTCAGTTACCCTATTTTGGATTTAAACATCAATGAGTGTTGAACAGCAAATCAGATTAAAATCCAGTGAAAATCAGACACGTAAGATGGCATCGAGAGTTGATTATGGTCTTGCCATGTTAATAAATGTCTGATAAATAGTTTATATAACATTTCAGGCCTAATGAAAGACCTACAATAGGCAGATTTACCTCTTGCATAATGTATGTTTAATGAGTTGATCAGTTTTTAGTATCTTGTAAATGCTGCCATTATATGTGACAACCATTGTCGACTGCTTTGGGCTTATTTTATTGCCTGGCAAACTATATTTGTTCCATCTGTTGTAGTTGGGGTCCAGATGATGATGGTAAAACAGTTGATGGACCACATATCATGGCTGCCGTAAGTAAATCTACAGATTATATTATTTATATATTGTCTTAGAGACAAGTGGGCGTGTATCAGATGAGTTACTTCTGCCCACATGAAACATTATAAATGCTGCTCTGTCATAGTTTTTTAAATTAAATTTTTTAAATATTGCCTTTTAGACAAGTGAGCTTGTATGAAATGAGTTACTAAAACCATGGATGTTCTACAGGTCATAGATTGCATTTGAATCATTAATTTTTACATTTTTTCTGGGTTGGCTAGACAAGTCATAGAGAAGGAAGTCATACAGTGTGCTATGAGGGAAATTTTGCCCGGGCAGCGGCACTATGACCTACTCTTATATCGAATTCCAACTGCCAAGGGATCTTTTATGTGCACGCCAATGTGTACACGGGACGTCGGTTTTAAATCCCATCCAAATGACTAGACAGTTGTCCTTGTCAGGCCCTCCAGCCTGCAATAATACTACACAGCTGTCCTTGTCAGGCCCTCCGTCCTGCACCACTGACAAGGGGGAAACCACGTCGGAAAATCCTGATGAACTTTTTCAGCCAATGCAGGGATCAAACATGCGACCTCCAGACTAGCGAGTCAGCGTCTTACCCACTTAGCCACCCACACCATATGAAATCAAACTGTTAAATGTGTATAACTTTGGTTTTTATTTTTAAAGTTCTATGATTTATTTTTACAGAAAGCTATGAAATTTGGTGTTGATTTTGGGAGGAAAGGTTATGGTAGTATTTTTGTTGTAGCAAGTGGTAATGGTGGTCGTCACCATGACAACTGTAATTATGATGGCTATGCAAATTCTATATATACAGTTACTATAGGTAAGTATCTTGTTGTATATATACAGTAACTATAGGTAAGTATCGGGTTATATATATATACAAATTCTCTATATATAGTAACTATAGGTAAATATTGTATATATATATATATATATATATATATATATATATATATATATATATATATATATATATATATATATATATATATATATATACAGTAAACATGCATAGGTAAATAGGTATATATAAATACAGTAACTATGGGTAAATATTGTGTTATATATATACAGTTACTATAGGTAAGTATCGGGATATAATCCTGTATATAAACTTTATTGTCATTCCAGCCAGGTATTTTGAAAATAAAATAAAGTGTTGGTTCTTGTCACTGTAACCTGGGTATCATTTAATCTTGTGTATCTAGCACTAATTTCTTTCACATTCATTCAATATCAAAAGTTTAATTAAAAATTTGTAACAATCATTTAAAATCACCCAAAGTCATCTAATTTGTACTTGTGTCCAGTTTAACGCTGACTGATTAATTTTGATAATCACAATCGAGTGACGCGGAATTCAGTCCTGTCACAGTTCTGTCAGTCACGTTAACGGAGGTGGTCTGAATAGAATCGTGACGTAATTAAACACAACGAATATGTTTCAGCTATCCTGGTTGGTTGAGATATTATCTTATCCAGTGAGGCATGCGTTGTTGCGCGAAATCCACCGTTTACTCGATTGTCACTATTTTTGGAGATGGAGAGAATTCAATTCTGGAATCCAGTATCCTCCAGTTAAAAGTTAAATCTATGTTGTTAAATCTGTTAAGTTCAATGATTTTAAAGAAGTTGATCTTGTTTCAGGTGCTGTAGATGAAATAGGACATATGCCTTACTATGCTGAAGAATGTGCTTCAATGTTGGGAGTTACGTTTAGTAGTGGTAAAGCCAATAACAGAGATATAGTATGTATCATACTCTTATAAATCTCAATAACAAAAGTTCTCTCATCAAATACTTTACTAAATTAAATACTCTGTCATAACCACAACTAGCTGAATGAACCATATATTAGTCCCGAAATGACCTAAGTTGACGTTAAACTTTTATCCTCTTTGATATGAATATTTAAAGATACATTATGGAAGATTAGATAAACAGCTGCCAGTTCTCACTATAATAGTTAAAAACTAGATAATGTAAATGGAATATGCTGAAAACGTCTGTCAAATTGCTCCACTCTGAACCAAGATATTAGTGTTTCAATTACTAAAGTCGGCGCAATAAAAACATAGTCTTGATTATCCATTTTTGGATTAAGTCATCAATGAGCGTTGAGCCGCAAATTGGATTCAAATCCAGAGAAAATCCAACGCATAAGATGACATCGAGTGTTGATTAAGGTCTTTTCATGTTAATAAATATCTAATTAATAGTTTATATAACATTTCAGGCCCAAAGAAAGAACTGCTATAGGCAGATTTAGCTCTTGTATAATGCATGTTTAAATTTTGATTGTGTAGGTTACAACTGATTGGACTAAGAGAAATGGGGCTGGATGTACAGAACGTCATACAGGTACCAGCGCCGCGGCACCACTAGCTGCTGGTATGATAGCTCTCATGTTACAAGTACGGCCATGTTTAACATGGAGGGATGTACAGTATATTATAATACTTACAGCACTGAAGGTAAAAATAATTCTATCAGATGTACTCTCTCTCTCTCTCTCTCTCTCTCTCTCTCTCTCTCTTTCTTTCTCTCTCCAATGAACCGGAAACAAGGCTGAAAAATTATAAGGAACTGTCTCGACTCAACCTGTGACCTTTTATTAAAGAAATTTAGATATATAATACAAATTGGCAAATACTTTTAAATTAAATAATACTTGGACAATTTCTTTCAGGTTGATGTGGATGTCGCCCATTGGCAGAAAAATGGAGCAGGCTTATATCACAGTCATAAACATGGTTTTGGTTTGCTAAAGGCTTGGAGATTGGTCAATGCAGCAAAGGTAAGATTTAATTTAGAGGGTGCCACAGTGCAGGACAGAGGGCCTGGCATGGAACAGTGTATAGTTGTTTGGGTAGGACAAAAAGTGATGTCCTGTGTCCACATTGGCATGCAAGTAAAACAACTCTAGACAGGTGAGGCGACATAAGGTTATCGTGTTTATTTGACTATGGTCAAACTAACTGAATCCGAAGGAGTAGGGTCGCCTTTCCAACCTCGTGGGTTTTCTCCGGGTCCGCCCACTGTTAAAGACCACTAAGCGCAAGCGAATTATTGAAATAAAAAATCATGTGTTAGTCCCAAAATGACCTAGTTTTGTGGACGTTAAACCCCATTCTCTCTCTCTCTCTCTGTATTTTAAAAACTGTGTCGCGTGGACGTTAAACCCAATTCTCTCTCTGTATTTTAAAAACTAGTTACAAGAATGGATGTAAATAAAAGTCAAATAGGGTAGACCTTCATGTAGTTGAGGCCATCAAAAGTATAAAAAACGAAACGAAATATAAATCTGTATTTTAATCAGATTGAGAGAAGATCAGAGAAGACAAGTCAAAAACCTTGATCTGTTATAAACATGGAATTGTATATTGTATTTTATCATGATTAATTTTATGTTTCATCATATTTATAGATTTGGGAAACTGTGCCTTGGATTACATCATTTTCATACGGTGTCAAGGACATTAACTTACAAATACCTAAAAATAACAAAACTCCCCTTGTTATTGAACATACTGGTAAGAATTTTTATTTTCATTTACCTATCTCTGGGGTATTGGATGGCTGAATGGTTAACACGTGCACGTTGTATCATAAAGTCTGTCATTGAGTCAACTGGTGGGGGGTTGGATGCCCGAATGGTTATCATGTGCGTGCTGTATTATAAGGTCTGCCATTGAGTTAACTGGAGTGGTTGCGAAATCCCGGTTCTATGTGACAAAGAGTAGGGTCGCCTGTCCAACCTCGTGGGTTTTCTCCGGGTCCTCCGGTTTCCTCCCACTGCTAACGACCCCTATGTGCATGCAAATTATTGAAATAAAATTGAACCATATGTTAGTTCCAAAATGACCTAGTTTGTATCGAATGGATGTTAAACTCTCTCTCTCTCTCTAATCTTTGTTGTACCTGTTATATATTATAGTTAGTGAAGATGCCGTACAAGGTTATGATTTATATATATTAGAATATGTTCAAGTTACTGTGACAATAACCCATCCTGTACGAGGTAAATTATCATTGAAATTAAAATGTCCGAGTGGTACCAACTCTGTTATAGGAGCAGACAGAGCTCTAGACAGGTTAGTATCATTATTGTTTTTATAAGACATAATGAATTTAAAGAAGTTTTAATGTTTCATTCAGATATTTTAGAGTATTTTATACAGCGACAGATATTAGGCTACACAAATAAATGTCTTCTTTCTTGGGCAACTGACAGCTGAAACTATAGGGGGGGAGGGCGGGTTATTTTTTTTTTACCTCATTTCTGGCTAGAGGATGGTGTAAAATAAAATTTGGCTATTGTTGAAAATAGTTTGGGCGGGAGGGCGGCCTTGTATTTTTTTTTTTTTTTTAATGAGAAAGTCATTACTCGTCTACGGTTTTGCTTTCAGTTATATATTATACATACTTAGAACATAAACCCAAAAATCAAGTGTACTCAAACACTGAACACTGACTGAAAGGAAAATAATTTTCCATATTTAATTCACGTAATGTAGCTTACTAATGGTAATGGTGACAACCATAATTAAAATTGGTTTAAAATAAAATTCTGTACGACTATTAATAGACGTCCATAATAACGACAATATTTTAAAGAGTAAGCCTCTGTTAGCATGTGTATCAAAAATAATCATCACGGTAAACGACACTTAGATCTAAATCTAGTATCGCTGGTTTATAATGATTGACCTAATTCCAACCAATGCATGTCACGTGTCATCGGGATTCGGGAAATGACTGTTTCTCAGGATATTCGGTGTGTTTCTCAGGATATGCAGTGTTCTATCTGGGGTTTATATCGAATGACTATTAAAATTTAACTAACAACTGGTCAGTAAAACCATCAAATGTATAATCCAATTATTATTTTCCGGATTATTAAAACTACCGTTAAATGTGCTAATGACCCAGATTCTGACTAAGGTATGGTGACTATCATCGTATCGTATTCGTAGCCACAAGTTATAATAATTAACCTGTTCTACGATTCATTGTTTTATAAGTAGGATTTTTTCAAACATGGACCGACTGAAGCCGGCAATAATGAGCCGATTAAGATCGAATGATTGAAATACATTGAAATAGTTCACAAGGGGAGGTAATTAAAATCATGTGATACAAAAATGGAGGTTCTTTCGATATCAATAAAAAAGACCCGTAAATGAGCGTTTGTATCTAAATTAGTTTAATACATTTGAATGGATATTCACGTATGGGGCATGTAGATACATGCGGCATATTCTTTTTATGACTTGCTTATCAATGTACGGGCGGGCGTTACATATTTTTTATTTTTCATCAAGACTAATAAATAGGCCGTGCGGGCGGTGCCTGAGAAACAACTTATTTTATTTGTGTTGCCTTACATAGGTGTATTGGTAAAAGCATTCCCATGATTGTTGATTCTGACCGATGATTTGCACTATTAGACCGGAGGCTCAGTGGTGGGAGGGAAGTCATTTACTTTGAAAGTGAATGCGCAGCCATTCTTGTATAGTGAAAACATGCTAAAAATGAGTGAAAGTAATCACTCTTTCAATAAAAATGTAAACTTACCTAATTTCACCATCGTTCTTGTGACCCCGGAGGTCAAAAGGTCAAATTTACCGTTTTTGCACTAAGACGATTTAAAGCAGTTGGTATCAACGGACAATTTGACCTTTTGACCACCGCCCACCCCCTCCCCACTGAGCCTCCAGGCTATATTTATGTGTATGCCCACTCCCCCTCCTCCCCACTGAGCCTCCGTAGCACACTGTATCGTGTATGCCTGTCTTCATTATCCCAATCAGAGTAGAACAGTAGGACGATAAACCTCATTTCATTTGAGCTGATGTGTCCAGAATATGTTTAGCTCTTATTATACGTAGTTCTAAATTTATATTATTAGACGGTACAGTGTTTTTAATTATGTTATTTTGAGACTAACATATTGATTTATTGAACAGATCTGCTGCTGGTTTCTCTGATTGGACATTTTCAACTGTACGATGTTGGGGTGAACAACCAGTAGGAAAATGGATTATTACAATAACAGATTCAGGTATTTTTCTATTATACTGTGGTAGGGTAACTCCTAACAAAATAACCTGTATAAAACCCAATAACTCATACTCCTAATAAAATAACCTGTATACGACCCAATACATAGAGGACATAGTTCTATGGAATACAATTACTGCTTATTACTGAGCGACATTTCGACTAGGCTTCTCTAGTCATTCATTGCTTATTAAAAAATTGTAAAAAATTGAATACAATTACAGATTATTACTGAGCGATGTTTCGACTAGGATTCTCTAGTTATTATCAAGAATTGATAAAATATATATATATATATTCATATGAAAACAATATTTAATTCATGATGATAACAATGAGACATACTACTTACTACTTTGGGGGGTGGGGAATTGTTGGATAGGCAAATGGTTAGCACGTGCACATTGTATCATATGGTCTGTCATTGAGTCAACTAGCGTAGTTTTGATTCCCCAGTTGTACGTGACAAGGAGTAGGGTCGCCTGTCCAACCTTGTGGGTTTTCTCTGGGTCCTCCAGTTTCCTCCCACTGCTAAAGACACCTACGCGCGAGCAAATTATTGAAATAAAATTAAAAAATGTATTAGTTCCCAAAATGCCCTAGTATGTGTCGAGTGGACGATAAAACACTTGAAGTAGGGATATTACTTGATCAAATGCTGATAATATCATCCTATATGATGATTTCTTGTAATAATTAACATTGGAGCAAAAACATATGAATTTAATAAATTGCAGATACAGAGAAAGGTTTTGGTTATGTAAAGAAATGGCGACTTCGATTATTTGGTACACCTTTAACACCTGAAGATTTCCAGGAGAGGAGACAGTAAATATTCTATTTAACTATTTATATATATTCTTCTCAAGACATGGAAGACATTAATTAGTTGCCATTAAATAAGGCTAAGGGTTTAAAGTGGCGTTATTGGAGATTAGTTAAAGAGCTGTCAGTTCTCGCTATAATAGTTAAAAAATAGATAAACTAAAGAAATATGCTGAAAATTTCAGTCAAATTGTTCCACTCTGTGGTTTACCACAGTTCCGTGCACCTCACGCCAAGAACTCGCTGTAATAGACCCTTTCATTGGCTAATCCCTCACATTAACCAGAATGTGTGTTATATAACAACTCTTCCAGATCCTAGTGTAGTAAAGACATGTAAAATGAAATTTTGAACTATAAAAAACAAAACGAAATAGGATCTGTGTTTTAATCAGATTAACATAGAAGATGGTTTGTATTTATTTGTTTATTGTTTATTTTAAAGGAAAATAGAAGAAGCCATGAGTGGTGTTTATTTAAATGATAGTTTTTCTTTACCATGTCTTCCACCACCTGTTACATCCAAACCAGACGTGCCTTTTACAATCAAAACTTTAAAAGTAAGTCCTTAATTATAACCAGATGGGGGGGGGGGGGCTAGTGGTCTAGAGTGCCACGCTTCAACCTCTACCTGGCCGGTCACCTCTGGCTTGCAGTTGTGGTTTTGATCCCTGGTGTGAGCGTATGTGTCTTGGAGTTAGTGGCGCCGTCTCAACCTCGTGGGTTCACTTCCGGTACTCAGATTTCCTCCAACTGCTCCGACTGGGCTAATGACGACGGACATATGCCATACAATGTGCTATAAAGGAAATTTTGCCCAGACAGCGGCACTATGGCCTACTCTCATATCGAATTCCAACTGCCAAGGGATCTTTTACGTATACACGGGACCTCAGTTTTTAGTCCCATCTAAACGACTAGAGAGCTGTCCTTGATGATTTTTCTCGGTCAATGCAGGGATCGAATACCTGACCTCCAGGCTAGCGAGCCATCGGCTTACCCACATAGCCACCGTGGCTCCACCAGCAGGGAAGAGCCCTGTGAATGCGGCTGAATAGACTAAAATAAGACTTGTATGCGATATCACCCTAGGTGGGCGTGGATGTTAAACCCCAAGAAAGGAAAACAGAGGTATACATCAAAATACATTTCACAACTAGCAATGTGTAGTCTCAATCATTCGGCCAATTTTTTTCATTTTTTGACCCATGTGTCTTGTTCAGCGAAAGCTGGTCAATATGAACAAAAGAGAATATCCCATAATTTATAACCTAATAATCCATCTATAATATTTCAGATTCTTGTACTTGCCAGTGCTTTCTGTATGTTTATGGCAGTTTATGAAACATTTGAATATATATTTTGTTATAATGAAGAAAAGAGGGAACATCAACGAAGAATGGAGTTGGCGCTTCAGGCGCATGATATGTCTCAAAACGCGGCCAATCACGATTCAAATGACGAAGTGACAGAATCGACTAGTTTACTTCAGGGTGAGGAAATGACCGTAATGAATAGCACACAGGAAGTGACATTAGATGGTTCTAATTTTATGATTGACGATCTACAAACCGTGGATTTAGAAAGTAATAATACAAACAGTGATTTAAGTCGTAACCATGGTGATTGTGATAATTTAAGTATAATTGTAGACTCGTCATTGGTTTCAAATAATCAAACTCTGCAAACAGATGTAGACGATGACTTTTGTTCCTCATCTGGTGATAAAACTGCAAAATTTGAATCTTTAAGTCTTTCAGAGGAAGAGGAAGTGCCTTCTTTAAATACTGCAGCTTCAAAAGTAGAGCCATATGATTGGTTAAAATACACCAAAAATAGATGATTTTTGTTTAATATTTTATTTTAGTACATTGTGATGTTATTTTATTTAAAATTCAAATATGCAAGTATTGATATTGCGGCTATATTTTACAGGACAGTCTTTATTAGAGATGGCTGTGAAAATACGCACATTTTCTCAAAATTTTTCAGAAAAATGAGCGTTTTCTCACAGCAAGCAATTTCTTAACTAAAGTCTAATTCACATATTCCAGAAAAAAGAAAATTTGCTCCATCGGATTAAAACACAGATCCTATTTCGTTTCGTTTTTATAGTTCAAAATTTCGTTTTACTTGTCTGTACTACACTAGGATCTGGATTAGCGTTCAGGTGAGAGATTAGCCAATGAACCCATCTGTTCTGGCGACTTCTTGGCATGCGATGCACGGAACTGTGGGTAAACCACTCGAAACATCAACGCTGATTGATTAATACATGTCTGACATCATAGGGTCAAAAGCCGTTCGTACAACCCCGGACGCGACCTTTTTACTACATCTGGTCAAATCTTCATGTAGTGTAGACCATCAATAGTATAAAAAAACAAAACGAAATATAGATCTGTATTTTAATCAGATTCAAACTTGTTATAAAATCTACAAATTGATATTTGTTTAGTTTCAAATAGTTTATGAGGATCTAATGAAAATTAAAAAAGGTTCTTTACATGGATGATTATGAAATTTCTTAAATCACATCAAGTAGATTGTAACCAAAATCATGATTTTATAGCTGATAATTTTAAGAGATTTTAAATTACACTTTAACTTTGTCTTGTCTTATAACTTAACCAGTTACTCTAAGAGAAAACCAGCAATACGATATTTTGTGGCAATAGATTACCATGGTATATTAATTAAACACCGATTGTTTAGATATATACGAGGGGGATTATTACTAGTAGAATACGTGAGTTTAGAAACATCAAACTCTTTGTTTCTAACATGACAAAAGGTAGGGTTGCCTCTCCAACCTCGTGAGTTTTCTCCGGGTCCTCCGGTTTCCTCTCACTGCTAAAGACCCCTACGTGCAAGCGAATTATTGAAATAAAATTGAACCATATGTTAGTCCTAAAATGACCTTGTTTGTGTCGAGTGGAGTTAAACCCCCCATCTCTCTCTCTCTCTCTCTCTCTCTCTCTGTTTCTAACAAATGACAAATTTCAACTCTTATCTGCAAGTGATTGGGTAAAAGTCAGTGTATTACAATTCACAGGGCCCTTATTCACGAAAACTTAAACTAAGATACAATCGGAATTTTAAGAAATACTGCAATTTGATTGGCTGACCAGTAAAATCAATTTGCATATATCCAATTTGCATATTGGTCAGCCAATCGAATTGCAGTATTTCTTAAAATTTCGATTGTATCTTAGTTTAAGTTTTCGTGAATAAGGGCCCTGTTTAATAATTTTAAATTCGCAGTTAGTTGATCAAGATGGTGTGTATTGATTGCCACTACTCATCCAAAGTGAAATATCATCAAAGCTATTTACCTACATGTGTACATATAAACTGTTTTAACATAATTAAAAGATCTCAGTATTAGGCGTGTATTTCACGCTTGGGGGCATACAATCAACAAACCTCTGTACACCACTATCACGATTCGTGCTACGATTGAAATTGTGTTTTTAATCGTACAGTAATCGTGGTGATCCTATCAGATATTGAGGTCTGTCAAAGCAATCGTGTTGATCATATCAAAACACGGAAAAGTATCTTTAATTAGCTATGGTTTATAATATAAAGTATTCCTGTTATTTCTAATGGAGATATCAGGTTGTAGCCAAATGGAATTGACTTCCAACTTATCATTTTGTGTTCCTTTAATATTGAATATGCATGTATATAATATTTTTTTTATTGACAAATAGTTCTAGTTGTTATTTTCGAGGCTTATATTATAGTTAGGTATATTTTAATTAGGGGTATTTTATAATAAGGCCTATATTGTGTTCCGCATTGTGCTACTATAATAGAGCACGAACTGTTTTATTTATATTTTTTTCATCAGATGTGTTATTTAAAGTTACAATTTCATATTTTTAAGTTATATTTTTAAAATGTATCAAAATAAAGCCCTAAAAAAATGGTATCTACAGTCTTACCTTGATAAAGAATAATCCTATTAATCTTAAGATAACCTATGATCGTATAATATTGAGTTGACAACCTATTTATTGAGCAAAAGACATAGAAATAATTATGGTTTGACTTTCTTAGAAAATAGAAAATTGTAACTTTAAATTGATCATTTCACTGTTCACGAAATAAAAAAAAGAAAGTAATTCTCACTAAGCTTTAATTGGCCAAAATTTGAGTTAGAACGACTAAATCTATTTGTTAACGCCTAGCAACCGCTGTTTTTATTTTTGATATTTTAATTTAAGATAATGTACATATATAATTATATAATGATCATTTGAAAACCAGCAATATTTATTTACCAGCCAGCCATATCTATTATGTTTGTGTATTACCAGTAACTTAATTCACCAAAATATAATTTTTGTATGTCAGCTAATTTTTTTAGCTTAGATTATTGTCCATCAGCCAATTGTTTGATCATAATTGTGAAATGAAATGAAATGGAGTTTAGATTCCAACTGGGCTAATGAAGACGGGTATATGCCATACAGTGTGCTATGAGGGAAATTTTGCCTGGGCAGTGGCACTATGGCCCACTCTTATATTGAATTCCAACTGCCAGGGGATCTTTAATGTGGATGCCACTGTATACACAGTTTCTCGGTTTTTCATCCCATCCGAATGACTAGACAGCTGTCCTTGTCAGGAAAATCCTGGTGAACTTTCTCAACCAGTGCAGGGATTGAACACGCGACCTCCAGGCTAGCGAGCCAGCATCTTACCCACTTAGCCACCTTGGCTCCCCTTGATCATAATTTTAGTTCAGGATTTTTTAGAACTTGAGGACTCTAAAATAAAAAAATAGAAATTTAAGCAGAAGACGACTTGTTTTCTAATATTTGGCTTGCTGTGGTATTCTATAGCTTTAAAATTTAAAAACCAAACCATATTAACATGTAAACCCAATGAAATCGCCCATTATAATTTTGACTCAAATCAAAGAATTAGAGACTGAATTGCTCCCGACTCTGAAATCAGTCCACATATCATCAAGATTTCTGTTTTAGTTGTTTTTATGTTTGTAGAAACCATGCGGCCATTCACATAATTTAATATATGTTTATTTTTTGCCATGTCTATATTCTCTTCTGTCTGCAGGTTTATCTTGTAGTTTTTTAGTTTTGTGTGTAGTGCGGGTCCACTTTCACTTACTATTAGAATTTGATATTGTGCAGATATTAACCAACCTGGTACATTTTGTAACCTAGTCTCTGCTGGCTGGAATCTTCAAGATTTTGATCTGATTTTGTTGGGATATTAATAAATGTCGGTTTTAAAATAGTTTTAATAAGTTTGATACATTGAAATAATTAACTCAACGCTAATATTATCACTTGGAGCCATTAATATTATCATTTGGAGCTATTAATATTATCACTTGAAGCTATTAATATTATCACTTGGAGCCATTAATATTATCACTTGGAGCCATTAATATTAACACTTGGAGTCATTAATATTATCACATGGAGCCATTAATATTAACACTTGGAGCTATTAGTATTATTATAAATATATGCAAGTACTAGTAATTATATACAAATCAATTGGGCAATTTTCATATATGTATGTACGTATGTGGGAAAAATAAATCCAATCATTTAATTAACATATTGATTGTTTGTAGTCTTGTTTCCATTTTTAGGGGTGGGGGGGTAGATGGACGAATGGTTAGTGCCTGCTTGCTGTGTCATAAGGTCTGTCATTGGGTCAACTGGCGTGGTTTCGATTCCCCAGTTGTAGGTGACAAGGAGTAGGGTCGCCTGTCCAGCCTTGTGGGTTTTCTCCGGGTCCTCCCATTACCTCCCACTGCTAAAGACCCCTACGCGCAAGCAAATTATTGAAATAAAATGGAACCATAATATGTTAGTCCCAAAATGACGTTAAACCCCTATTTCTCTCTGTCTCGACCAACCTTGTGGGTTTTCTCTGGGTCCTCCGGTTTCCTCCCACTGCTAAAGACCCCTACGCGCAAGCGAATTGTTGACATAAACTTGAACGATATGTTAGTTCCAAAATGACCTAGTTTGTGTCGAGTGGATGATAAAACCCATTCCTCTCTCTCATATTGTTTTTTTTTTTTGTCCTCCACTTTTCAGAGAAAGCTGTGGGCTATTGAAATGGGTTCTTCATCAGTCTGTCTGACTGTCATACACTTAGGACAACAATAACTCTGCTCTTAACGGAGACAGAATGTTCATTAGGTGAATGTCTTGACTAATTTTATGTTCAGGCTAATCAAAGATAAGCAATTAGATTTGGCAATGCTTTGGAACACGAGCCTCTATCTAGAGTGTCCACAAGATTTTTCAAATTGGTTAAGGGCAATAACTTAGAACTTAAACATTAATGATCGGAAATCATTTATAACCAAACGTGATAGCTTAAGACTATTCAAGAATATTACTATTGCAGTCGCAGTCACTTATCAGCACAGGATAATAATTTAAAAAATACAGACGCCCAAATGAAGAAAAAAGATTATTTTTATATGAAATCAAAAAAACAATATTACATAGTTGCTGCCGAAAATAGTTGGTTCATTCTATAAGAAAGAAAATAAAGTGTAAAGTACATCTAATTAATAATTCAAAAATTCAGCGAAGTCTTTCTGTCGAGAATCATCTTCAATACCTATTTGTTATATTAATTATAAACCTATAACGGTAAATCTCTTTGATCTTTGGCGTATATTCTATGCCCGGAATAACTTGCGTTCTGAAAGTCCGGGGGGCTTTGAATATATACAGGGGAATTTGGGGTTATTCTTCTGAAATTTTTTCTTTGAACCTGTAACGGGTTATTCTTCCAGGAATTCTGGGATATTGTCATTTTACGTACATGTAAACATAGACAGTTTATAAGCACGATAAATTCCTCGACTTCGGTTATGCTGGGGAAGAAATAATTCAGAAAAAAACTTCGGAAGAAAGACCTCGGCCTCCCGGCCTCGGTTTTTCTTTTTCTCAGGTTATTTTCTTCAGTCTTTCTTTCCCCAGCATAACCTCAGTCTCATGCTTTATCCTACACAGAAATAATTTGTGAATAATTTTATAGCTTGAAATTACTATCGACAATAGCTAATGAGAATGACCCTCGACAGAAAACGTAACTTGAGATTTTGATGTACATAAAAAGCAAAGCAAACCTTTATAACTGTAAGAAGCTAATAAGCCCAAGATAATAAAGAATAAATATTTTTAGATAACCTATTAAAATTATATACTATGCATCATAAAAAAAAAACCAATTGTTAAAGATGATCAACCATTTTGATGATTAGTTTTGAATAAATTATTAAATTGTGTTGATCCGACGTGATGGGACAAGATCTTAACCTGATTATGTTAGGTTCCCAACTGTCGTGTGATGCATTACAATGGGATGTCCCTATTGAGTCCACAATCTGCTAAGTGCAGATAAGCAATTGATATTACATGGGGATTTTGTGGAAGTCAAGTATTTTAGATGGGAAGAATACTTGTTCCAAAATTATTTTTCGTGGATTGGTTACAACAGAGTCATTTTCAACCATGGGTTTTGAGTAGATTTTACATTGTATTCCACTTGAGCACCCCAGATGCGACTGCATGGTCGATCAAGTTAAATTTTATGAACTGACAAAGACCTGACATGCTAATTCCAATTTAAGTAGTTAGACACCTATTGTCTTGGCAAAACATTTTCCAAAAACAGAATAATAGTTCTTTTTAAAACATTAGTCTCATCTCTCATTTGGTATTTATAAATTTTGGTCTCTTTTTTAAGCACACACAAAATATCAGATTTAACCACATATAATTGTCAGTGTCTGGGATTCTCAAAAAAAACAGCGAATGGTAAACGCCCCAAAAAATAGGGATAATGCTGTTTGATGATCGCGGGATTCCTTTATTCCCCGCATACTTCTTATTCTGCTATATCCCTATTTTTTTGGGCATTCGCCATTGGGAGAATCTCAGACACCGTATAATTGTTTTGGACTAAAGTTATGCCAAGAATTCCTAATTTATAAAACACTTCAAATTAAAAAAAAAAAAAGTAACAAAAAATATAATCGCATACCCTGTATGCGTAGTAGTATGAAGCACTTGTTGACAATGGCTTCAATTCAAACTCTATGTACATTAATACAAATAAAACAAGCACAGCATAGAAGAACATCTAATGATTTGGCACAAGGAATAATACTGTGTTACAGTCAATCTGTGTAATCAGTCATTTTGCGTAATATACAAAACATACTTCAGAAACCAATCTGGTTAAAACACAGATCCTATTTCGTTTCGTTTTTATAGTTCAAAATTTTGTTTTACTTGTCTTTACTAGTAGGCCATCGAAAGTATAAAAAAACGAAACGAAATATAGATTTGTATTTGAATCAGATTGTTCAGAAACATAATAAAGCATGGAGGAATAATTATAGCAAGACTCCGCATAGAAATTTAAGCTGAAGTACAATCGGATTCAAATACACATCTATATTTCATTTTGTTTTTTATATTTTCGATGGCCTACACTACATGAAGATCTGACCGGTTGTCGTGGAAGGTTGCGCCAGTGGTCATACGAGCGGTTTTTGACCCTATGACGTCATACATTTGATTAACAAATCTGCACTGATGTTTCTAATGGGTTACCCACAGTTCTGTGCACCTTACGCCAAAAACTTGCTGTAACAGACCATTTCATAGGCTATTACCTCACATCAACACCTGTTATATAACAACTCTTCCAGATCCTAGTGTAGTAAAGACAAGTAAAACGAAATTTTGAACTATAAAAAAACGAAATAAAATAGGATCTGTGTTTTAATCTGATTGGCTGCAGTACATAATACTGGTGGTTAAAACAAGATGATGTCGGGTTTTGTTTATTTTCTATGGATGAATGTAACAGATTTCATGACATTTACCTAATAAAAAATATGCCAACTGGGATGTGAGTGTTTTAGTTTCCACTTCACGTATTAGAAGTATTTACAGATTAAATAAATATTCTGTTATGTTTTTAGTTTTTTAACAAAACCTCTTGGTCTACCCTATAATTGCATGGTTGATATAATAATAATAATATATAAAAGAAAAATGTCCACCCGTTTCTATATTTTAACAATAGATAAAATGCTTATAACCACTTGAATAAGAGCCCCCTTGAAAGATTTCTCTTAATTCAAGGAAATATTTGTGACCGTATCAACAAGACTTTCCAAAATGGCAGAATCTGCTCACTTATCACGGCCCAGTGTAAACAGGGCTATTATTAGATTATAGAAACAGATGGATATCATCATCTTAAGGAACCTCTTTTAAAAAGAAGCTCTTTTTTTCAACAAAAATCAAATAAAGCATACAGGTGTTATAAATAAAGTTAGTAAATATATATTATATACACAAACTATATGTCTACATTTATATACAGATAAGCATACCTCATGGCCTAATGAGAACAAAAATACATCATATGTAATGAGAGTCCCCTGTATTCTGTCTATATCTTTTCTAGTCTCTAGCAAATCAGTGGCACAGGTTTTGGCCACTCTAAGTTTCGTCATATAAAAAGTTATCTCAGATGTTAGCTATCATATCTTATACTAGGACCCCACTGTCGTGCGATGCGTTACGATAGGATTATCCCTACTAGGCCCACGATCTGGTATGTGCTGATACGTTTCGATACGATCAACGCGATTGCTACGATTGACCTCAATGTGTGATAAAACCTGGTGGGATCACCACGATTAAAACCATGATTTAAATCATAACACGAATCGTGATACTGGGAACCTAACATAATCTATCAATATCAGCCACGATTCTTTGTATATCTTTATAATTGGATATATGCAAAGACAGGACTGATTACTTTTTGGCTAGGAAAAGACTTGATTTATTAGCTAAACATAGTCTTTGATTTCCTCGTGATCATTCTATACAATTTGATTATTCTGAATGCCTCAATCTTAACCATCAACTCTCGTATGTGTTGGAACCGTGTCCTCTTCATCTGATCTATTTACGAGAAAAACTTGGTCTTTGTACTCCACCAACTAATTTGGGCTTTATTTCTTGTACTTCGTATTTGTGTTGTGAAATAGTTCTACCAACCAATATGCTGATTATTTTTAATATTTGATCACCAAAAGTCTCTATTCATGTGACGTGAGCCCTAGCTATATAGTATTAAATGAAACGCAAAGTAAACCTGTATTATTTGACCCTACCTGTTTGTCTATTAAAGACACAAATATCCACGAACATTCTTGTCATATAACCAATATGATCTTTACAAATACAAACCAACAAAAATGTTTTGAAATTATTTTTGAATCTACATATATACATTTTCAGGTTATGATATACATTTATTATTAAACTAAAAAAAAACCTTTCAGGAAGAATTAAATAGGTAAGTTTGATTAATTACTGTCACAATGGTTAGTGCTAAATGATAAGACCAGCTCAATTTTTCATCATAGGTTACCAGATGTAAACAGGGCTAGCGCTAATGCCAACCCTAACTCTAACCCTAGGTCAGTGCTTATATGGAGACTCAACCTCTCTCTCAAAATTCTTAAACCTAACCCTGGAAATAGCCCTGATGCTTACCCTAACCCTAACCCTAACCTACAATTTCACCAACAATCAAGTTATTTCACTAGGTATTTTTTTTTGTAAGAAATGTAGTGTTCTTTTATTTCCCACTTAAATTTTCCCAAAAAAAAACAAATCAAGAAAAATGTACACCTTGAAGAAAAATTTTGATTGAATAAGAAAAATGTCACCATTACAGGTAGGAAATGCTGTAAAACATGAAATTATCACCTGAAAATTTTGCATTATAGGATAAAGTTAGAATCCTGTTTTAATAGAGGTACATCGATCACCCCTTCAAGGTTGCATCACCACAAATTTTTACGATGCTTTAATACAATTTCAACCATTTAACGATTTCATGTTTTACACATTTTTTTTTTAAATTTTTGATCGAACTAATAAGTAGTATGTATTAATTAATATAAAATCTAATTTCAGATGTTGATCTTACGAGAAAAACAGAGGCAGTAAAAGAGCAAGTAAAAATAGTGAACGGGCAGCAGTCAACTTCATACCAGCATTACTGTCGTCACCTGTTAAATAAAAATATACATCCAGATTACTCGTACAAAAGTTTAACGAACTAACATCAATTATAAAAGTTTTTAGTAGCTTTTCTTTTGGCTAACTATGATGCTATAAGTGAGATATGCAAAGATATGGGATTGCTTCACAAACAATATTTCTCCATTCCTGATTTTCGTAGTTGTCCAAAGTTATTTTCAATTTTTCACATTAAATGTAACCAGTATTTGCTAGACAAGATATGCCCACATTTTGCAAGAGATGGATAGAGAACAATCAGGGGCCATTATACAGGAAGTTATGGGTTGAAATGCACGAATATCGAAACAGACTGAGATATTTGGGATATAACGATTTATTTTAAGTTTCATCAAAATCCAATAAAAATTATGACTTCTAGAGGGTCTACAACCTTTGGTATTACATACTTTTACATTATTTGCATAGGCTACAAGGAGCAGGCAGTTTCGGTCCGATTTTCACAAAATTCGAAATCAATGATCAATAAGGTGTAACGGTGATATGTTCAAACGTTTTTTTAAATCGAATAAAAAATTGTGACCTCTAGAGGATCAAAAAGCTAAAAAAAGCGGTTTTTAGTACGATGCGATATGCGCAAATATCGAAAGGAACCAAGATCTTTGGGTTATAAACATGCATTTCAAGTTCCATCAAAATCAGATGAACATTGTGACCTCTAGAGGGTCCACAAGCTAAAAACATGATTTTTCGTACAATCAGGGGCCATAATCCATGAAGTTTTGATCCGATACATGCCAATATCAAAAGGAACTGAGATCTTTAGGAGATAACCTATATTTCAAGTTTCGTCAAAATCGGATAAGAATTGTGACCTGTAGAGTGTCCACAAACAAATTGCAGACAGACAGACGGTCGGACCTCCGGATGGACAGGGGCGATGAGAATATATGTCCACCTAATGATATGGGAGTATAAAAACATAACATTTTAATATCTCTGTGCAAAGGGCTTTCTTTTTTATTTCAGTGGTCATTGTTTGTCAATTTCTTAAAGAATATAAAAGGTTACCCATATATTTATAGGAAAGATAACGAAAAACATGCCCACAGCAGCTAATTTATAGATTTTGTCACAACAAGATAATAATTTTCAGCTGAAAGTATTTACATGAACATAAATTAAAAGCCCATCAGGTGATAATTTTCCTATATAGTCTTCGCAAGATTTTCAAACGGATTAAATTAGTTTCCCCCAACTGACGAACGGGCGTACCTGGGTGTCAACAATATTTCAATGTGGGCGTATAAAAGCTAATCTACAAGGTGTTGATATAAAAGAAGGTAAAATAGACAGGTAATCTAATATATTTATATATAATTACTACTTACGGGAATGTATATGTGGATTTCTTACAGTAGGTGTTGGAGGCGTAAAACCAGCTGTTAAATATAGCGAAATGCAATGTGCATCATCATTCATCAAACATCACACACTAATATATGACAAGCTCTTTTCAAAAATACAATCATCACAAATTTTGAGTAAAAACTAGGCAGTTTTATTTAAAAATATGGCAGTCAAAAGGATTAAATGTATCAATGATTTTTATGTTATGTTTTATGAACATAATGATAGGTTGCCAGATGATGAAACATACACCCACAGCAGCCAAATGACATTTGTATTCTATTGTAAGCATTTACAAGACATTAAAAACTGATAAAGGGCAGCAACCCAGAATAATTAAAAATTTGATGAGCTTCTAGTTGTTTCTACATAGATCCTATTGCGTTTCGTTTTTTATAATTCAAAATTTCATTTTACTTGTCTTTACTACACTAGGATCTGGAAGAGTTGTTATATAACCCACGCTTTGGTTAATGTGAGGGATTAGCCAATGAAACGGTCTGTTGCAGCAACCTCTTGGCGAGCGATGCACGGAAGTTCGGGTATCCTACTAGAGACATCAACGCTGATTGGTTAATCAAATGTCTGACGTCACTCATATGACCCCTGACGCGACCTCCCACTACAACTGGTCAGATCATCAGGTAATAGAGGCCATCGAAAGTATAAAAGAACAAAATGAAATATAGATGTGTATTTTAATCAGATTGTACAGCTAACATACCGGTGGTCAGATGATAACTTTACTCATAAGGCTTCTTGATCTCATAAACCGTGAGATCAAACCATGTTTATGCTGGGTTCCCACTGTCGTGCGATGCGTTACGATAGGATTGTCCCTATTGAGTCCACGATCTGCTACGTGTAGATATGTTCCGATATGTTTTGATATATGAACTCAGTATATAATAAGTCCTGCTAGGATCACCACGATATAAACCACGATTTCAATCGTAACACGAAACGTGATAGTGGGAACCTAGCATTAGGAATTTCAAGTCAAATTAATGATAAATTTGGCCTCTCAAGCATCAAAAAAAATTTCATTCAAAGTGATCAAGGACAATAATTCTGACAGTTTCACATGTACTTAAACATTGTGTATAAATTTCAAGGAAATCAGACGATAGCTGTGTTTGAAAATTGGGTTTTTGAAAAAAGGCTATTTTTCCAGAGTGGAAAATGACTGATGGGTCAAATCTAGTTGCGGCCATTTTCTGTAGCCCTCAGTCACGACCGGCATATACAGCCGAAGTGTGACCCATGCTTGAGACAGTAGAGAGCCACGAGCAAATACATACAACAGACGGACTGATCTTCAGGGGTTGACAGCAATGTATATCCACATGTAAAAGGGGCCAGATAAAAATGGTTTTGGAAAGGAGCGGCTTCAAATAATGGGGTTTATTGCATTTTGGAAAAGAGCTCTTCATATAATATCACAAACAGTTCATACAGTTTAACCAATCAAATTAAATCTATTATTGATTGACTTGATTCACGATCAGATCAAAAAATAAATTTACCCAAAAATACACGTAAATAGCCTATTACACTGACGACCAGCATGTGGTCATGTTACTTTAGCAATAGCAATACTTTACTTAAATACTCAATACGGAAATATGTTTTTTAAATACCCAACAAAATATCCTTGAATATCAAATACTTTATTCTAACATATCAATATTAATCAAACATCAAACACTTTTTATGGATAACATTTACTATGGTTTATTTCACTGCGACTGATAACAACCGTCAAATCTTGTTGAAACGTCGTCGCAGTGAAATAAACCATAGTAATTGTTATGCATAAATAGTGTGTTATTTGATTATATTCCAATTACTAAATTACATTCAAAGAATATATCAATATTAACAAACATTCATCGAGAATTTAAGAAATATTCTGACTGAAGCTAAAGTGGCCCTATAGACAAGTATAATTAGTTAATTGACTGGTTTGTATGAACTATTAAAGATGTAGGTCTATATTTGTCATCTATCAAAATAAATTTGTGCACAATTCATTCAAAAGCCTGCCGAGAAAAGTATACAGTAAGGTGATGTTTTTGGAAGATATGATTTTGTAGGTCTAATAAACAATGAAATTCTTTGCATTATGTGTCCTGGTTTCCAGTCAATGCTGTAATAGCCTAGTTATAAAAATCTATCTTTCTAGTTTATGAAAATAGATGATTCCAAGAGCTTTTGGAGTAGAGACCCATTAATTACCTCTAGATTGATATCCACCCCAGTGTCTATTGGATGGGAGTATCAGTGTCTATTAGATGGGTGTACCAGTGTCTATTAGATGGGAGTACTAGTGTCTATTAGATGGGAGTACCAGTGTCTATTACATGGGAGTACCGGTGTCTATTAGATGGGTGTACCAGTATCTATTAGATGGGTGTACCAGTATCTATTAGATCGCAGTACCAGTGTCTATTATATGGGAGTACCAGTGTCTATTAGATGGGTGTACCAGTGTCTATTAGATGGGAGTACCAGTGTCTATTAGATGGGATTACCAGTGTCTATTAGACGGGAGTACCAGTGTCTATTAGATGGGAGTACCAGTGTATATTAGATGGGTGTACCAGTGTATATTAGATGGGAGTACTAGTGTCTATTAGATGGGAGTACCGGTGTCTATTAGATGGGTGTACCAGTATCTATTAGATGGGTGTACCAGTATCTATTAGATCGCAGTACCAGTGTCTATTAGATGGGTGTACCAGTGTCTATTAGATGGGAGTACCAGTATCTATTATATGGGTGTACCAGTGTATATTAGATGGGAGTACCAGTGTCTATTAGATGGGAATACCAGTGTCTATTAGATGGGACTACCAGTAGCTATTAGATGGGACTACCAGTGTCTATTAGATGGGAGTATCAGTGTCTATTAGATGGGAGTAGCTATTAGATGGGTGTACCAGTGTCTATTAGATGGGAGTACCAGTGTCTATTAGAAGAGTGTCTCAATGTTTATTAGACATCTTAGTTGAGTTCTCATAGACTAGCAAGGGGGAAAAATATTGACTAATGCAAAGAACCTGATTGACAGAAATATCTATAGTTACTACCAATAATAAAAGACAAGCAATTCTAAGAGTAAGGTATATATATAATTTGTGGGATATGAATGAATTGGCATACATACATACATAGTGTATAATAGATGGCACAGTAATAATACAATGATAGAATCAATGGACATGAAAATAAAACAACTCTACTACTACAATAATACTATACTAATCATGTATATGCATATTTTATTGTACACAAAATTTAAAATCAATCCAGAGATGGTGTTTATCGTCCTACTTTTCCGCTCCATCTGGGCTAATGAAGACAGGCATAAGCCCTACAGTATGCTTTCTACCAGGGAAATTTGTACACAAAATTTAAAATCAATCCAGAGATCTGTATTTGAAATGAAATGGGGTTTAACTTCCTACTTTTCTGCTCCGCACTGGACTAATGAAGACTGTCATACACCATACAGTGTGTGTCATACACCATACAGTGTGTGTCATACACCATACAGTGTGTGTCATACACCATACAGTGTGCTATCAGGGATATTTTGCCTGGACAGCGGTGCTACGGCCTACTCTTATTTTATTTCAAATTCCAACTGTCAAGGGTTCTTTTACATGTATGCCAATGTTGTACATAGGACCTCAGTTGTTTGTCCCATCCGAACGACTAAAGCCACTTGACCCTATTTCTTGCGAGGACCACCGACAAGTGGAAACCGTGGCAGGAAATCCCAAGAACCGCGGAACTGTAGGTTAACAAGCCAGCACCTTAGTTACCGAGCCACTTCGGCTCCGTCCGCTTTTAATCAATACACCTTATAAAAGATATTCAGTGCTTGACAACACTTGACATTTTTCATATCTCTGTGAATTGAAGGTAAATTTAATCATGATTTGATAAAGAATTAGGGATTTCGATGTCTTGGTATACCTTTAAAAATATCACACTCTGAATGAATTAACTTGGAAATCTCTAATTAAAAGAAAAACAATCCAGAGTCGACTAAAACACACCGTACAGACAAAATTCTCAAAATCTTAGTGAAAAACCACACACTATTCAAATTAAAAGAGGTTTTGTGAAATAAAAAATAATTTCAAATGCAGTTGTACCTACCTTTGTTGGTTTCAAACATAAAGAGATCACTGGATTCGCCCCAACCGTAACTATTGTGAGCTTGTAAGATGATTTCATACATAGTTTCTGGTTGTAGATCTCTGATGGTGTACGATTGGGCGTGAATAGATCCAGTATCGGGTTCAGCTGGGATATCCGTTTGATTCCATTCACTAGTTAATGTTTCATTGATAATCTGGAACAAAGAATTAACACAGATTTTAACAATGCTGGGATGATTCAGATTTAGACCAATATGACTGGGGAAATGACTGGCATTGCAGAAATCCAGGAGGGCACAATTATTCATTAGAACAGAGATAGAAATGGGGTTTAACGTCCATTTGACACAAACTAGGTCATTTCGGGACTAACATATTGGTTCTATTTTATTTCAATAATTTGTATGCGCGTAAGGGTCTTTAGCAGTGGGAGGAAACCGGAGGAAAACGTAGGGCCTGTAGAAAACCCACAAGGTTGGAATTATTCATTAAAGCCAAGAGGATAATTCTGTGCCCCTTTACACCTGTGCTATTGCTGAGAGTGGACGTGCACTGGAACTCTTTTGTAATTATTGTCATTTGAGTTTGAAAATTCATTAAGTAAAATAAAACATTTATTAGAGCCTAGTTCTGACCTCGAGGGGCACCCTAATACTGTTTAGATTCTAATAAAGTCCAAATTGAACCATACCCTTGAGATTAGAAATCTATGAATGGTGAGTGTAACTGTCCTAGATTTCTCTAAATCCCTTGAGGAATTTGTTTTTGCAAGTTTGAATGTACATTTTAATGGATTATGTCAAGAAGAATAAAAATCTTACAGATCGAATGAGAAGTCTATAATTGCTTGGTCGAACAACTGAAACCACCATCCATTTTAGATCATAAACAGAAGAATAATTGCCTTCAATATCACTGACTATTTCTACTTTACTTGGTAATGCTGCAAAAACAAAAAAAAATTTAAGACATAAACTAAATAGTTCTTTATTAAAATATAAATTCAAAGACATTTCGTATAACTTTGTCTTCCTATATAGGAGGCCAACCACCATTAAATTTCACCCACACACTGTAGTTCGTCTATTCATAGCAATCCCCCTTTCTCCCTATTCTCCCCTTTTGCATGCCCATTTTTGTTGATTGTTTTGTCTAGAATGGACGAAAAGGGTTTGAATGAACATTTTCTGTCAGGTTTTGGTAAATATTCATGATTTTGAGGAGGAAGGATAACAGAGTTATCAGGTTGGTTACGGTGATATGTACGGTGAATAGTTACATGTGTTTAGTATGCTACTTATACAAATATTGGTGCAAATACATGACCATTTGTTTCTCTGTCCTGTAGTGAAAAGCATTCAGCCAAACGAAAAATTTGGTGAAAAGTTGGAGCAGGGCAAATAGACCAGAATTAACATTGAAGTCAATGGGGAAATTAATGGTGGTCTGTATCCATAGAGACTTTTGGTCTACTATACAGTTGTTACCTCCCTTGAGTAAGCCTTTCTATGTACAATTACTACAGATTTGTCATACTATATTAATATTACATTGCACTGACTACATTGTCATTGGGAGTAGTGGTTCCCAGTGAAATTAAATGCTATATTCAGGGCCAGATATGCTCCACATATGCACCACTGACACCACGATTTTTCAAATTTTTCTCGGAGGCTCCTCGGGGGCCAGATATGCTGCGTCTGCCACTGTGCATTGATTGCTTTTTTATTTTTATGTTAAATTTGTACTATCGTAGCTACCAGTTCTCGATGGCTAGAATGGAATACAAGAAAACAGGAAGTGCTATTCAATAACCTGGAACCAGCCAATGTTTGAATATTTAGCTCAAATAATCTAGGGAATAAAATGTTAAAGATACATTATGGGAGATTAGATAAAGAGCAGGCAGTTCTCACTAGAATAGTTAAAAACTAGATAATGTAAAGGGAATATGCTGAAGATTTCAGTCAAATTTATCCACTCTGAACCGAGATATTAGCGATTGAGTTTTAGGCCTAGCCTCGATCATCATTGCTAAAGTCAGTACAATAAAAAACAAAGTCTCGATTATCCATGTTTGGATTTAATCATCAATGAGCTTTGAGCAGCAGATCGGATTCAAATCCAGTGAAAATCAGACACATAAGGTGTCATCGAGAGTTGATTATGGTCTGGATAAGTTAATTAATCACTAATTAATAATTTATATAACATTTCCGGCCTAAAGAAAGACCTGCAATAGACAGATTTAGTTCTTGCATAATGTATGTTTAAGTCTTAAGTAATATCATATTTTCAGAAGAAAAGCAAAAGCAAACAAAAATATATGAACATACGTGTCAACACCAGGTTGTGAACTGTCTTTCCTTTGATATTTTTAGCCATACACGAATAGTTGCCGAAATCAATATCTTCTACACCTTTAATATATAAACTATAGTCCGTCTTAAAACCATCTTTTAATACTTTGAGTTCTTTGTTTTGTGGTATATTTCGTAGTGATACCTTGGTTCCATTGTGTTTCCATTCTATTTTTGGTGCTGGTTGTGCGCTGACTACACATGGTATCGAGATCTCTTCATTAGGTCCAGTTATAATGACTGTCTCGGCTGTGTGAATAATCGGGGGATCTAAAAAACAAAAATTACAGAATTAATTGAATGATAATTTACATGCTCTGCCCAAGTTTGAAAATGAAATGAAATGGGATTTAACATCCAACTGTTCTGATCCTACTGGGGTAATGAAGACGGGCATACGCCATACAGTGTGCTATGAGGGAAATTTGTCCAGACAGCAGCACTATGGCCCACTCTTATATCGAATTCCAACTGCCAAGGGATCTTTTACATGCACGCCAATGTATACACCGGACCTCAGTTTTTCGTGCTATCCGAACGACTAGACAGCTGTCCTTGTCAGGCCCTCCCCGTCCTCCACCACTGAAAAGGGAAAACCACATCGGAAAATCTCGATGAACTCTGCCATTGTCATGATATAGATCTTTCTCTCCTATATATAAAAGATATACCCTAACAATGGTGGGTATAAACAATTGAAATTTGAGTTGTTGCCTTCATTTTGACTCTAGTGAAAACCGAATGAACCTGGGTACAGATGTCATCAATACTGTGTGAGAAAGAGAGAGAGAGAGATTGTTTAACATCCACTTGACACAAACAAGGTCATTTCGGGACCAACACATGGTTCAATTTTATTTCAATAATTGGCTTGCACGTTAGGGGTCTTTAGCAGTGGGAGGAAACCGGAGAGGACCTGGAGAAAACCCAAAAGGTTGGACAGGTAACCCTACTCGTTGCCACGTACAACCAGGGAATCAAAACCATGCCATTTGACTCAATGACAGACCTTTTGATACAATGCACATGCTAACCATTCGGCCATAATTTATAGCAATATATTAACTGCTAGGTTTAAAGGGCATGGTCCACCTAATTCTGTATTAAAACAAGAAATAGATAATACCATATTAAAAGTTTTAGTAGTATTTATGTCACTAGCACATTCTTTTATCAATGGTAGCCCTTTTTTAAAAGTTGATCTATGTTTTTCAATTTTTTTTTTAAAATAAAGAAACAGATTAACCATCTCCTTTAAAGATGTTTTTTCCAGAGTTCTGTGGAATTCTTCAGTTTTATGTTAACCTATTTTCCCCGACCCTTGTATAGAACCACTTTGAAAGAGGAGCCACGGTGGCTAAGTGAGTAAGACGCTGGCTCGCTAGTCTGGACGTTGCGGGTTCGATCCCTGCATTGGCCGAGTAAGTTCATCAGGATTTTCCGACGTAGTTTCCCCTTGTCGTTCGGATGCGACGAAAAACTGAGGTCCCGTGTATACATTGGCGTACACTTAAAAGATCCCTTGGCAGTTGCAATTTGATATAAGAGTAGGCCATAATGCCGCTGCCCAGGCAAAATTCCCCTCATAGCACATGTATGGCGTATGCCCGTCTTCATTAGCCCAGTATAGGAGCAGAACATTTTATTTCACTTTGAAAGAGATTCAGCATGGATTAAGCAGCCAGTCTTTAGTAGTCAATAATGAATAGGTACGACATCTCGTAGACCTCATTTACTCCATGTACAAAGTCATTAGACTTAATTAAAGCAATACCCTACCCCATTTAAATCACTATTATCATGCCAACTTCAAATATACTCCATCTTTTTCTCTTGGGGGCATTCAAAAACAAATCAATACAAAAACTATGTTTCCCTTTCTGAACATTATATAGACAACAAACTTATACTGTATATAAAACTTAGATGTGTTTTAACATGATACCTCTGGAGACTGACTAAAGAATAGTCATATTTCCCCCACTCAGTAACAATAACTTTTAGAACTTATCATTGAAATAATAAAATATATATTAACCACTTTGTCTATTTAACTATCACTTTAAATCAAACTTAGATCAGGCCCGGCAGGGTGGGGGGGGGGGCTAGGGGGGGGGGGGCTAGCCCCTCCAATAATTTGGCCGCAAGTACTCTTTTCTCCAGGTTATTGCGGCCCCTTGACCCACGCCTATAAGGACCTAGGATGGAAGCCCCCCCAATCAAGAATGGCTTCCGCCGGCCCTGTAGATAGAAAAGAAATGAAATGGAGTTTAACATCCTACTGTTCTGCTCCTATACTGGGATAATGAAGAAGGGCATAAGCCATACAGTGTGCTATGAGGGAAATTTTGCCCGGGCATTGGAACTATTGCCTACTCTTATAGGGATCTTTTACATGCACACCAATGTATACATGGTACCTCGTTTTTTCGTACCATCCGAACGACTAGACAGCTGTCTTTATCAGGGTCTACACTGACAAGGGACTTAGAGAGAGAGAGAGAGAAATGGGGTTTAACGTCCACTCGACACAAACTAGGTCATGTCGGGACTAACATATGGTTTAATTTTATTTCAATAATTCGCTTGCACGTAAATTATTTCATGACTGAAGGCTCTAATCTGTACACAATGCAACAACGATTGGAGTTTCAAAATTTTGCTGGACAACATTATTTACATCCTTATTGTAATTTGTTAATAAATTGTAAATTTATCAGGTTGTCCTTTTCCTGCGTAGTTATTTGGAAGGGAATAATAAATGAAATATAGTGTGTGATGTTTTAATACAATCAGGGGTTACTGAATGATTTATATGAATTTTTGCCAAAATCTGGAATATAAGGTTACTATAAATTCCACTACTATGTCTATATATATATATATATATATATATATATATATATATATATATATATATATATATATATATATATATATATATATGATATTGAGTCACCTGGTATATATATATATATACGGACATCTGTAGACCAGAATTAAACATATGTATACTTATAAATGTCATCCATATAAATATATATCAGCCTATACATACATATTCATGGTATATAACATTAATTATGCCTTTCTTCTAACTAAGTCCATTTCGAAGCCCCTGTTGTACGTGATAAGGAGTGGGGTTGCCTGTCCAACCTCGTGGGTTTTCTCCGGGTCCTCCTGTTTCCTCCCACTGCTAAAGACCCCTGAGTCTAGTAAAACATAATACGGAACATCGGATTTGAATCAAATTGACTAATCAGACTCTGAACATTTACTTACAATAAATCTTGACTCGAAAGAAGTCTTCAGCATCATCACCGACATCATTAGAGGCGATACACTTGTACATGCCACCATGGTTGTATTGTAGATCTGTCAACGTTAATTTATCACCATACGCAAAGTCTTCACCATTCGGCATCTTTTTATCCTTTAATAAAAGAGAATAAAGGATTAAACCACCTATAATGAAAAGCCTTTGTTGTCTAAATTATTTACATATTTTGTTTCAAATTTTAGTTGAAGGATTGGATCACTAACTTCTTTGTGGGAGGGAGCAGGGCTCACACTGTCGGTCTCCTAAAGTCGCAATTTGATTGTAAGCATCAGGGATTCTGATTCCGATACCGTTACGGTACATGAAAATAACAATAGGCCTAGTGTACATGCAAAACATAAATTTATAGAAAATTGACAATAATTGGATGAGATTTTATGTGAAAATACTGAAAATATATTGTGCAATACGGTGTGCTAAAAGACTTAAGTCATCAAAAATAAAATTTAATGTTAGTAAATCATTTAAAAACTGGGCTAATGTATCATGTAAAGACAGATTGTTTTATCTTTTTTATCACACAGATAAGATATTTCAGTTGGCGTAAAAAAAAATTTTCATATAAAAATTATTATCCATTTTGGCAGAATAAAATTGAAAACAAGCATGAGCCCTGAGAGGGAGCGTGAATGAAGGACAGATTTCAGAGATAATGCTCATTGGATGACAATATGATGACATTGACTGCAATTACTCTTATAACATCTGTAAGAGAGTCTAGGCATGTGATGTCACATTGTCGCGGGTTTGATCCCAGTATTTGTCCGAGAATGTTAATCAGGATTTTCCGACTTTGTTTCTCCTTGTCAGTGGTGCAGGATGGAGGGCTTGACAAGGACAGCTGTCTAGTCATTCGGATGGGATGAAAAACTGAGATCTTCTGAACACATTTTCTAAATTGTTTAAGTGGCATTTAGTAACTGGATGAGAATAACACATGACACAATTATATAGAATACAAGTTACATGAAGAGTTTATTTCAGCGATGTTTTGTCAAGTGTTCTCCCGTCTTTATCAAACATATAAACCCTTCATGTAACTTGTATTCCATATAATTGTGTCATGTGTTATACACATTGACTATTTGATATAATAGTAGGGCGTAGCGTCACTGTCCAGAAAAAATTTCCTTCATGCACGCCAATAGCTACTCTCTTTTCTATTAGATATTCTTTATAGACATTATTTTACCATTGAAAAAAAATATCTATATACGCCTAAAAATTACTCATGACATTTAAATGGAAAGCATAACTATCAATAACTACTAATAATAATTATGAATATGAATACACATCTGGCTGGAATAAATTCTCTCACTCAGCAGATTTTTATATTACAATTAACAGTAATAGATTTACACACAAAAACTAATAAATAAATATAAATTACTTCTGTAAATAAACTCAAATTATTTCAACCATACCATGATCTATTGTCAGGATTTGAATTAAAATATGTCAGGTCTTCGGATGGGTCAAAAACCAATGTTCCACCCATGATGCACATAAAATTACCCTTGACAGTTTGAGTAGGTGAAAAAAATCTGCTGCTAGATCAAAATTCTCAATGGCATTTCAGCAGGGCCGTAACTAGCTTAGAGCAACGCGAGGGGGGCGAGAAAGGTTCTCAACGGGGTGCTTTAAATTTTTTCACAGGTGTGGGGCCTAGTTACGGGGTTGCATTTCAGAGAGCTTAAGATGATGGAAATTTATGGAAAGAGAAAATGTTATTACTAACCTGTCTGACCCATGTAATATTGGGTTGAGGACGACCAGTAGCTGAACACTGTAGTTGGACGGTATCATGGAGTGTTACTTCAACATTTCTACTTTTATTAACAATCTTTACAGCTGGAGGAACTGTAACAAATATCAAATATCAAAAATATATATCAACATAGGTTACCAGGTAATGAAACACCCCCTCCCACACAGCAGGTAATGAAACACCCCCTCCCACACAGCAGGTAATGAAACACCCCCTCCTACACAGCAGGTAATGAAAGACTACCTCCCACACAGCAGGTAATGAAACACCCCCTCCCACACAGCAGGTATTGAAACACTCCCTCCCACACAGCAGGTAATGAAACACCCCCTCCCACACAGCAGGTATTGAAACACTCCCTCCCACACAGCAGGTAATGAAACACCCCCTCCCACACAGCAGGTAATGAAAGACTACCTCCCACACAGCAGATAATGAAACACCCCCTCCCACACAGCAGGTAATGAAACACCCCCTCCCACACAGCAGGTAATGAAACACCCCCTCCCATACAGCAGGTAATGAAACACTGTCTCCAACACAGCAGGTAATGAAACACCGCCTCCCATACAGCAGATAATGAAACACCCTCTTCCATACAACAGGTAATGAAACCCCCCCTCCCATACAGCAGATAATGAAACACCTTCTTCCATACAGCAGGTAATGAAACACCCCCTCCCACACAGCAGGTAATGAAACACCACCTCCCATACAGCAGGTAATGAAACACCCCCTCCCACACAGCAGGTAATGAAACACCCCCTCCCATACAGCAGGTAATGAAACACTGCCTCCCACACAGCAGGTAATGAAACACCCCCTCCCACACAGCAGGTAAGTGGTCCGAGTGGTTATTTTATAGGTAACAGAATTAGAAATGGAGGACGAGAACATCCCCACATATACATGTATGAACACAAGCAAACCCCACACATATCACTCTGATTAAAACACAGATCCTATTTCATTTCGTTTCGTATTTTATAGTTTTAAATTTTGTTTTACTACACATATAGATCTAAATATATTTTAAACTAAAATTTGCTAGTTGCCCGGGGGCCCCCAAAGAATAGGGCCCCATGCTAATGTAGGTTCTTGATTAATAATCATATTGCGCCTGGATAAACCTGTCCATAACTATTACACGTTTTCAGTGACAAATACTTTTACCATCCAGTACTAGAATTTGTAGGTTATTGCTGCAATTAATTACTTCTCAGCAACGCTTACAAACAGTAGTGAACAGTTCCCATAATGAGGTCACTCAAAGAGAGAGAGAGAGAAATGGAGTTTAACGTCCATTCGACACAAACCAGGTCATTTCAATAATTTGCCTTCGAGTAGGGGTCTTTAGCAGTGGGAGGAAACCAGAGAACGCAGAGAAAACCCACGAGGCTGGACAGACGACCCTAGTCCTTGTCACGTACAACCGGGGAATCGAAACCACACCAGTTGAAGGTCACTCTAAGAGGTGTGCTAAGAGTTACATAATACCCCCCCTCCCCACCCAAACTGTTTTGACCATCATTTCTGAACATCTCAATAGTTTGTGCTGAAACTTTTAGACAAGTTACAGGATTTTCTTAACCGACCTAACAAAAACTGGGAATTTCCCATTAAATGCAATATTTTCTTGCATGGTTGTTACAGAGGCGGAAAGTTTATCAAAATTAAATTGACTAGTGTTAGGTTACATTTAAGTCATTAATTTCAGTAGACAATTCCATTAGTTTTCTATAATCTGTCGGCACATGTCTGAACCTCGTTAGTTTTTAATGATATAGACAAGGATATAAAAACACCTCTATCATCACCAGATGATACATTAACACATTCTACTCAATAACTAGCCATAACTTGTACGATCTCAAGGATTTCATGTTGTAAGATAAAACATCACATCAAGTAGGCAAAGTGCCAGTATCAGAGATCAGAAATCATTTCAATTAAAAAGAAGAAGTTGTTAGCAGACTACATGTGTTAAGATACTGGTGGAAAATGCAGTTTTATAAAATATAAAATACACAAATCAAACAGTTGGTTTATATCACCTGTTTTTATAAACTGTCTTAAAGTAGCCAAGTCTTTAACTCAATATCATCCAAAGTCTTCAACATTGAAAACATGAATTATTTGTCAATAAAAGTCAAAACTGCTTATCCGGACAAGTAACCCTTTTAAGATTTCAAGTCAATTTTTTCGTTGGGTGACCTGATAATCGATTCCCGTTCCTTTAGAGGTCTATACAGTAAATGACCCATGTGCTTTAACGAAAGGTAAATTTTTTCACCTACACATTGTTTTTATAAAATAAAAGTCTGGTTTTATCCAGACACCGCATAATACAGCTTGGGACACCAGTCTCCATTTCCAGATTAAGACTGACAGGTTTAAGTCGTTTGAAAACGTATCACATATGTTGATTTAGTTGCTCGGCCCTTCGGTAGAGGATTTTAAAATAAAATAAGGCAGTTTTATTCTCCATAATATTATCGGGATTGGCCCTTTAAATCAACATTGATGTTGTGATATCCAATATTTAAGACAAAATAAACATTTTACCATTGGTACACGAATCGTGTACCATAATGCGTTTCACCGCCATTTGTAACAAGGGACATATTCCACAAGTCATGTCAAACAGTGACACCATATTCTTATTTGGAGAGCATGTGCAATGAATACTATTGGTGTAAACTGGAATAACCAGACACTAGAGATTGCCATTCAATTGAGACTTCTGACATTTTTTACCGAACATAACTAATTTGATATTAGAGTAAAAACGGAAACGATTGAATGTAAATCAGTTTATATACATTCATATTACATTATTATATGCGTTGCGACACATTTGTGTCAAATTCTAGGGCCCAAATATTAGCGATTTAACTCATTTAAATGTTAAAATTGACAGAAGTTAAAATGCAGGCATTTTCTGACTAACACACAGATAAAACAAGACCTTTCAGTTATCAAAATTCTTGTATACCAAAAACTAATTTGTTTCCATGGAAACACAAAAATGATTAAATCCAAGAAATCTCTAATTAGCAAAAGCCACAACTACTATAATAAGATGTTTTGAACGGTTTATCGGATATCATCTGGAAATAAACCAAGACTGAAGGAAGGACAGATTAAATGAAATGGGGTTTAACTTCCTACTGTTTTGCTCCGACTGGGCTAATGGAGATGGACATACACCATACGGTGTGCTATAATTCCAACTGCCAAGGGATCTTTTATGTGCACACCAATGTATACACTGGACCTCGGTTTTCCATCCTATCTGAACGACTAGACAGCTGTCCTTGTCAGGCCCTGCGTCCTGCCATGGGGAAACCACGCCGGCCAATGCAGGGATCGAAAACGCGACCTCCAGGCTAGCGAGATAGTGTCTTACCCTCTTAGCCACTGTGGCTCCCAGAAGGCCAGACGGAAGGAACCGATCATGTGGGTGGGATAATAAGGAAGTTGTGTTTGGTCACTGTATACTTAATTTGATATTTTTACCGTGATATTTATTTCAAAAAATTATTTTACATGTGTTAAAAAATAGAGACACTTCAGAGAAGATCATAGAAATCTTTACGCTAACCCAATGCTATATTTACGATGCTCACATTGACACATTTCACTAAAGCATACACATACCACATGTTATTGTTAGGTTTCGATTTCCCATTTGTACGTGACAAGGAGTAGGGTCGCCTGTCTAACCTTGTGGGTTTTCTCTGGGTCCTCAGATTTCCTCCCACTGCTAAAGATTCCCTACGCACAATCAAATTATTGAAATAAAATTGAACCATATGTTAGTCCCAAAATGACCTAGTTTGTGTTGAGTGGAGGTTAAACTCTCTCTCTCTTTCTCTCTCTGAATATTATAATCAAAACTTAAAATCTCATTCATGATTCTTTGACATAAATGTACTAATGCAATAGGATATTAATGTTGATTAGCCAACAGACGTTTATGTATTCTATAATGATAATACCTCGGTCATGCTTTAACTATAATAAACCTACAGAGTTCATTACATTACAGATAGCCATCTAAATTCAGGGGCGGATCCAGGAATTTTTGCAGGAGGGGGTTTGCCAGGTTCCTGAGAAAATGTATCCCCCCCCTCCCCCGACTTGAAATACATGGTCTCTATCGTCATTTTAGCGTATATACATACACATTGATCTTTTTAAACAGAGAAATCCAACATCCTGTTTGACGTCAATTTTTATTATGAATTAATACGATAACATTGTGATTCAATTTTATTGATGCAAAGCATTAATTGTGATATCACATAATATGTCTATCACGCGCTTTGAGTGCCCATCCTGACGATAAAGGATAAAGCACAATTATGACACTTTTCTCATAAAAAAGGTTGTTTTACAAACAATTTTATGTAGTTGAGCAGGGGGGGGGGGGGGGGGGGAACCCCCAAACCCCCCCTCTGGATCCGCGCCTGAAATTCTACTACATTCTGATTCAATTTATTTCAAATATTGTTATATATCTAACTAAATCTTTAGATTTAATTTTTGTTGAGTCTATTAAAATATGTTATGCGACCATGAAATGAAATATTAACCAGAAAATTCCTTTTAAAAAATCTAAAATATATTAAGATATCATCTCTCACACCAAAACTCCTATAAACACTTTGTGAATTCACAGCTGTAGAAATGTTTTACTTAATGTAAGGAACAGATTGAATGGGAAGTTGGGTGAATAAATGTTTACATGAAAACACAAACAGAAAGTTCTATGTATGCCAACTTGCCGTGCTGTGAAGTAAATCTGTAATCACTAAAAACCTGGGTTATTGAGTGACGTGGATGTGTACACGATGCAATCTGCACAGACTTCAAAGATCTGCTAAATATTTTATATCTATTGGCTGAGTTTTAGGCAATATGTATACACACTAGTACTTCTATTTTCAAACAATGATATTTATCTATTCCAGATGCTATAACAAAGCCAATGTTAAGACAAAAGTTACCATATCATATCTTCACAATAGATCTATTTTTTGCCCGGGAGCCACGGTGGCTAAGTGGGTAAGATGTTGGCTCGCTAGCCTGGAGGTTGGGTGTTCTATTCCTGCTTTGGCCGAGAAAGTTCATCCTGATTTTCTGATGTGGTTTCCCCTTATCAGTGGTGCAGGACAGAGGGCCTGACAAGGACAGCTGTCTAGTCATTTGGATGGGATAAAAAACGAGGTCCTGTATATATATTGGCGTGCAAGTAAAAGATCCCATGGCAGTTGGAATTCGATATAAGAGTAGGCCATAGTGCAGCTGCCCGGGTAAAATTTTCCTCATAGCAGACTGTATGGTGTATGCCCGTCTTCATTAGCCCAATCACTACAGAACAGTAGGACGTTAAACCCCATTTCATTTACGTTTTGCCATTATTAATGTAATTCTATACCTACTGAATCATATTTTAAACATGCATCATATATCATTATTTTACTAATTAATTGATGGAATCAATGGTGTTTATGAATATATAATTAATTGATGGAATCAATGGTGTTTATGAATATATAATTAATTCGCTCTAGTTCTGTTCTCATAAAAAGTTTCCTGAATCGATTTTATTCACACATTTTGGGGTGTTTCCAAGTTTCGAATTTATCCAAACAAACGTTATCCAGTGCACAGTATTCCATCAGCCATACCTTGATTATATCCTCACCTGGCAAAATATATACCATTCTCTCAAATCACAATTTATCCATATATAAAATGTAAACTTTATCAAAATGTTAAAGATCAGACTTTACCAAATCTTAAAAATCAGACTTTAATCAATTCTCCATGACCACATTTTATTCAAATTTATCCAATCACACACAATCCATATTTCACCAGGAATACCTTCTCAACATCCCTTCCATCACATTTTATTCATATTTTCTCAGTCACATTTTATCCTATCAATCTACCTCTTCCTAATCAAACTTTTAACTTATCAATTATACTTTATATCTAAATCTTTACAATAACACATGTTTCTAGTGCATGCACATTGTATTATTAGGTCTGTCATTGAGTCAACTGGCATGGTTTCGATTCTCTGGTTGTACGTCACAAGGAGTAGGGTCATCTGTCCAACCTCATGGGGTTTCACATTCAATCGACACAAACTAGGTCATTTTGGGACTAACATATGGTTCAATCTTATTTCAGTAATTCACTTGCACCTAAGGGTCTTTAGCAGTGGGAGGAAACTGGAGGAACCGGAGGAAACCCGCAAGGTTGGACAGGCGACCCTACTTCTTGTCACGTTAAACCCCATTTCTCTCTCTCTCTCCCTCCCTCTCTCTCTCTCTCTCTCTCTCTCTCTCTCTCTCTCTCTCTCTCTCTCTCTCTCTCTCTCTCTATTGACCTTGAAGAAATAAAATTAATTATGGTCTAAGTTTTTCTTACCTGTAACCATAAGGTAATTAAACTGTACTTTAGGAGGTGATACACTGATTTGACACTGATATTTTCCTTCATCTTCATCTTGTAAGTTAATAATCTGTAAATTATATCGTCCAATGATTGAAAACCTTGCGTTACTTGTCATTATAAGATGATTTAACGATAATACTGTTGTATCTTTTAACCAAAACACATTGTATGCACCTAGATAAAATAAAAATATATTTCATTATTAAACACAGTCCAGAAATGAAATGGGGTTTAATGTCCTACTGTTCTGCTCTGGCTGGGCTAATGAAGACGGGCATACGCCATACAGCGTGCTAAGATCATTGCATCCACCAAGGACATCATACACAGTTGATCACACAATTATGACTCGAGGGAAATTTTGTCTGGGCAACGGCACTATGGCCTACTCTTATATCAAATTCCAATTGCCAAGAGATCTTTTCTGTGCACACCAATTTATACACAGGACCTTGGTTTTTCATCCCATCAGAATGACTAGACACTTGTCCTTGTCAGGGAAAACACGCTGGAAAATCCAGGGATCAAACATGCAACCTCCAGGCTAGCGAGGCAGCGTCTTGCCCACTTAGCCACCATGACTCCCCAGAAAGTCGAGAGATATGTAGAATTTTAGCATCTACTCAACATAATGCATTATTTCACAGGTAAATTGTGCTGCAGAGGTTTTTGCAAATGGCAGGACTATGCATATTGTGGATAGAAGGCAAATTAACCAGAAAATAATTTAATCCCTAATTTATTCAGAAATCCTTGCTCATGGGGTATTTCTACATATTGGATTCTAGATTGCAACCCTAGCAACCAGAAAGTTGATCATTGCTTCCTTAAGTTAAGGGGAAACAGTTTGAGAATCTCACTATATGAAAACATACCGATAAATTTTACTAACATCAAAATGTAAATTAACTCACCTAAATTCCTAACTCGACAGTTCATTGTGACATTGTGACCTCTCATAACTCTTAAATCCTGGGATTCGGATTCAAATTCTTGGGCTGAAAAACATATATAAAAACATTAAAATATCTATCTTATCTATCTATATCATTAAATAATCTATCCCCAAAAAGAAAGGGAAATCTTATCTATATCATCAAACCCAAATCATTCAATATTCTTTATCAAAGATAGTTTGCCAGGCAATGAAAGATATATGAGCACAACAGCTCAGTGAGGAGATATTTGTTTAAACACTGAAGGCTTAGTCTAATTACAACACCTGGTGGCTATAACACTATTATTAAGTACAGGATGACTACACAAAACACAAATCTTCAAGATAAACCTGTGTACAAGACAGAATATAGACATTGCAAACAATAAACAACAAATCAAGAGAATGGATCCGTGGGGGGGGGGGGGCAGCTGTAAGCATTGACTGAGTCCTGGGACTGTAATGGTACAGGCCTCCCTCTCTCTCTCTCTCTCTCTAATTTGATAATAGTGACAACATTCTTGAATAAATAGTAACATAATTAAAGTCTGAGATATAAAAGGAATATATCTTTAAGTTGGTGCTGGTATACCCTCTGACAATATTAAAACAGATAATGGTATAAATGAGACCTATGTTTGACCAGATGATCTATATTTAAAGGTGGTCTGTTTATACTATAAATACACATGGTGCTAACTATCTGCCCTGAAGACAACCACTTGTAAAATATACACTAATTAACTTGCCAACAGACAAAATTTGTATAATTGTGATAGCCTATCCCACCCTTCTCATGTTCTCTTGTAACTTCTGTACATATCTGACATTTTTGTTCTTTTGTCACTGAAAAATATTGATGGCCTCTGCCACTAGCTTATCTACTATAGCCCAGTACCATCAGTTTCTGAAATCAAGGACTAAACAATCATCCCATTTCACTAACATTTCATATACCAACTGATGGTCGAGGCTAGGCCTAAAATTCAAACGCTAATATCTTGGTTCAGAGTGCAGCAATTTGAAATTTTCAGCATATTCTATTTACGTTATCTAGCCTAAAATTTGGTTTAGTGGAGCACTTGGACTGAAATTTTCAGCATATTCCCTTTACATTATTTAGTTTTTAGCTATTATAGTGAGAACTGTCAGCTCTTTATCTAATCTTCCATAATACCTCTTTAAATAAAATTCATTGCTCTATTAGTAACCTGTGTCATGTACAAGGCATGTACTTTTTGTAACACCTGATACCTAGTGTGTTTTCTGATCTAAAACAATTTTATTTTACTTTTATATTTCATTCGCCATACATCTGACAAACAAGTTTAAATTAAAAGAAATAATGTGTTCATCTTGACCCATCACAGATTCAAAAGGAGAAATTGTTTGTTTGAAATGTCAATGAAAGACAAAATAAAGTAATATTTATAAATGTGTCACTGTAAACCTACATGACAGATTGACATGTTGTTTTATATGTAAATAAAAACATAGAGACTTGACTCAAAACAACTGATTCAACAATTCAACTATTTATACAACAAATTTAAAACACATCACCAGTTTAAGCTTAAACAGTCAGACAAACTTTAAACATGCTGGGTTTTTCTCCTCTGTAAATCTCCTATATTTCCTATTATAATTATTTAAAAATTAAAAGTAAAAGGTTGTGCATCCTACTACAAATAATTATGTTTCAATAGTGTTTCTTATTTCTACACCTTGATGCCACCTGGTGTTGCTTAGAGGTTGATTTCCTGATAGACCGACACTTGGACCAAGGATGTTTCGTCCATTGGTTTTTGTCCTATTAGCACCAACCAATGGCCAAAACATTATACAAACCACTTCCCTGAGCAAGTGATGACCCCAACATGCCTGTCGTTAGGTAAGTGCAAAGAGATTTGCTAGGTGGGGAAAGTTTGCTCAAAGGAGCTTAAATCTGTATTCTTGAGAGAGAGAGAGAGAGAGAGTGAGAGAGAGAGAGAGAGAGAGAGAGTGAGAGAGAGAGAGAGAGAGAGAGGGGACACACAAACTAGGTCAATTGGGACGAACATATGGTGCAATTTTGCTTCAATAATTCGCAGCGGGAGGAGACCAGAGGACCCAGAGAAAACCCATGAGGTTGGACAGGCGACCCTACTCCTTGTCAAGTACAACAAGGGAATCGAAACCACGCCAGTTGACTCAATGACAGACCTTATGATACAACACGCATGTGCTAACCATTCGGCCATCCACAACTCCCCCCCAACCCCCTATTCTTTGGAACCTAAAATGGACGAATTTGGGTCAATAATCTACTATGACTGTACATAAAACTGTCTGTAGATAATATTGAGTTAGAGATTCACACCCTTTAATGTCCTGTCATGTATCTTGATATAGGGTGGTCGGTATACGCTCTACACTTTTACTTGTTCTAAACTTCCTTAAAATCTCAGTAATTTTACATGTGTGTACTTAAAAACGATCATTCCCTATTTTAGATTTCACATTAGAGGGACCGGTTTTTAAGCATGCAGTATGATACAAGCTAGATGTAAAATAGGGGCCTATAGTTAAATTGATATTAAAGGGAATTTTCCAATCTGATTAAAATACAGATCTATATTTCGTATCGTTTTTCATTTTTTTGTGCTTTCGATGGCCTCTTCTACATGAAGATCCGACTGGTTGTAGTAGGAGGTCACGTCAAGGGTTATACGAGCGGCTTATGACCCTATGACGTCAGACATTTGATTAACCAATCAGCGTTTATGTTCTTTAGTGGGTTACCCACAGTTCTGTGCACCTCATGCCACAAAATCGCCATAACGGACCGTTTCATTTGCTAATCCCTCACATCATCCAGAACGTGGGTTATATAACAACTCATCCAGATCCTAATGTAGCAAAGACATGTAAAACGAAATTTTAAACTATAAAAAAAACGAAACCAAACAGGATTTGTGTTTTAATGAGGTTGGGTATTTTCACTCAGAAAACAGTCACGTAATTCAGTACACCAACACAGCAATATATTTGTTGAATAAGTCAGTTACTGAGCATGTCTGACAGGGAAAAAAGTGATAGCGGAAAGTGGTACTATCATGATCAAATCTACCACTACAAAACACCTCGTTTCTTTCCAGACAAACTGTAATCTGTAACCTTCCTTGAATTTATTCATAAACTTTGATCTTCAGACATTCTAAGTATTTTCTATTCATATGATTGGTTTTATCTGTTCTATAAATAAATATAACAGTATCATATCACATAATACATGCGATGGCTGTTTTTATAATCCAGTGATTAGTGAATTGATGACTTGACTTATGCTAATGTTTGTACATATTCTGTCTGACCTAGAGACTTAATCTTGGCTATCATCTGAATATTGACAATGTAAGATATTATTGGACCATCATGTGTGGCAAAAACTTGGTCTATACGAACATGAAATGGGGTTTAACGTCCTACTGTTCTGTTCCCACTGGGCTAATGAAGACACGCATATGCCATACAGTGTGCTATGAGGGAAATTTTCTCCAGGCAGAGGCGGGGATCACGTGGCTAAGTGGGTAAGGCGCTGGCTCGCTAGCCTGGAGGTCGGGTGTTCGATCCCTGCATTGGCCGAGAAAGTTCATCTCGATTTTCCGGCGTGGTTTCCCCTTGTCAGTGATGCAGAACGGAGGGCCTGGAAAGGACAGCTGCCTAGTCGTTCAGATGGGACGAAAAACCGAGGTCCCGTGTACACATTGGCGTGCACGTAAAAGATCCCTTGGCAGTTGGAATTCGATATAAGAGTAGGCCGTAGCGCCGCTGCCCGGGCAAAATTTCCCTCATAGCACACTGTATGGCGTATGCCCGTCTTCAATTAGCCCAGGTTAGGTGCAGAAGAGTAGGACGTTAAACCCCATTTCATTTCCAGGCAGAGGCACTATCGAATTCCAACTGCCAAGGGATCTTTTACGTGCGTGAAAAGGGGAAACCACGTTGAGAAAATCCCAATGAACTTTCACATCCAATGCAGGTATCAAACACGCGACCTCCAGACTGAGCCAGCATCTTACCCACTGAGCCACCGTGGCTCCCTATATGAACCTAATATCTCAAAGTGTCATAGAAGGGTGGGTGGGGTATAGGATAGGTTGCCATTGGACCATGAACAGAATCTTGGAGCCATGTTTTGATCCATGGCACCTAATCGACATCTACAATAGAGAATCTATTTTCTTCAGGGACTATGCACCAGAATCTATTTTCTCCATGGTCTATGCACCCAACCCTAGACAGAATTTGTTTTCAAAAATAACTTTCTTGAAAAGGCTGAATCCAACCTTGTGGATTTTCTCTGGGTCCTCCGGTTTCCTCCAACGGCTAAAGACCTCTACGCACAAGCGAATTATTGAAATAAATTTGAACCATATGTTAGTCTCAAAATGACCTAGTTTATTTCAAGTCAACGTTAAACCCCATTTCTCCCTCTCCCTTTCAAGTTTTCATTGGACTATCTGAGACAAGTATTAGTGGTGTTCGTACCATAATGTTTTAAGAAATCTGCTGAATAAAGAAGTGAGGCTAAGAAAAGGGTTTGGTTATAAATATAGTACATCAAGTAAATAAAGGTGATTACTATAAAAGCAACAAGTAGGCGCCATTAGTGACCTATCTAGCACCATGTAAGTTCTTACAATATTTTCTAGTTATTGATATAAGGGAGGGGTTAGTGTATTGATATAAGGGAGGGGTTAGTGTATTAAATAATAGTACATATTGCCGGCAGGTCATATCAACTCAAAAAAACTTCATGCAAAATAACATAAAGATAGGTTGGCAGTCAACAAAACATGATCATTCACAAGACACTAAAACTGACCAAGAGTAACAACCAGTGATGGGATTCGGCCATATGTTTCGGGACATGACCGACGCTATTTTTCAAACGTCCTAAAATGTCCAATCAGGAATTTTCTCAATCGGACATCAAGACATTGTGAACAATATTCAAAATTCCAAAATTAATATAGTGTACTGAGTGCATATCTACCAATCAACCCGAAAAAAGTGTCG